TCATCTAACATTTGTATTTAAAATTCCGAACCTAGTGTTGGCTGACAGTTGTTTTGAGTTCTAGCTATTCTTGAATTATAGACATGTTGCTCCTGCATTGACGATTCGCACCTTCACATCTGCATCAGATCCACCGTGTTCATCAATGTTGCTGCCCATATATGTAAGGGTTTTTACATTTTCTAAATCTTCATCAAGTGTGATTTGATTATTGCATGCTTTGTTATATCGAAGAATCTTGCTTTTCCCTTTGTGTATGTTGAGACATACTGTTGATGAGGCTGCTTCTACACTGGCTGTCTTCTCCTGCATTTGCTGTTGCGTGTGTGATAGAGGAGCGAGATCATTTGTAAAGTGTAGATCGTCTTGCTGTTTCCTATATGTCCACTGTATCCCATGCTTCCCTCCAGATGTTGACGTCTTCATGATCCAGTCGATCACCAAGAGAAAAAGAAAGGGTGAGCATAAGCAACACCGGTCTTTACTTCGAACGAGTCTGTGAGCTGTCCTCCATGCCTATTTTTGCAGTTTATAATCATCATAGGAATTCCTTATGACATTGATTATCTTCTCAGGCACGCTGTAGTGTCGAGGAAGCCTCCATAATGTTATCGCGTCCACGCTATCAAATGATTTTTCGTAGTCGATGAAGTTGATATAGAGTGATGAATTCCATTCAATTGATTGTTCCAAAATGAGTAGTGCTGCGCTTTGGTCTGTACACAATCGATCATTACGGAATCTAGCCTGTTGGTCTCGAAGTTGGGCGTCTAAGGAGTCCCTTATCCTGTTTAACAATACCCTGTTGAAGACTTTTCCTGGCGTTGAGAGAGGAGTGATGCCTCAGTTGTTCTCATACTTGCTGAGATCGACTTTCTTCGATATCTTGACCAGGCGTCTTTCTTGACAGTCTGTTGGTACGTGATTTCTATCTCAAATCTTACTGAAGAAAATGTAGAGTATCTTTTCAGTTACTGCTACAACTGTCTCCAGTGCATCTCCTGGGGTGTTGTCTGGTCTCGCTGCTTTGCCGCTCTTGATTTGTCTGATGGCCATGCCGATCTCTTCAATTGTTAGTGGGCCAACATCGATTGGGAGGTCCGTGAGTGCTGCCTTGGTGTTGGGTGGATTCAGAGAGGCTGATCGATCCAAGAGTTCTTTAAAGTGTTCTACCCACCTGTTTCGTTGTTCTTCAATGTTGGTGATTACTTGACCTTCCTTGCTTTTCATTGGTCGTTTTGGTTTACGATAATTTCCAGCAAGTTTCTTTGTTGTGTCATACAATTTTCTCATGGTTCCTTCTATTGCAGCCTTTTCCGCCGTCATTGCTAAATCTTCCATGTGTTTACGTTTGTCGGTCCTGATGCTCCTCTTCACTTGCTTGTTTACTTCTGTGCATTCAGCTTTTGCCTTTGCTTTTTCTGCTCTTGTTCGGCTGGTATTGATTGCTGCATTCTTGTTCCTCCTCTCTTGAATCTTATCCAGTGTATCAACAGTGATCCATTCCTTGTGATGGTGCTTGTTGTGTGTGGTCCAGAACCTCATGACATGTTGAAGTGATTGCCTCTTTTATCCCTTTCTAGTTGCTCTCCATAGTAGTTCCTTCTCCGTTGAGTAAGTTGTGAAAGGCCTGGAACTTATTGCTGAGGGCTATCTTGAATTTGTTGAGTCCGTCAGTATCCCGAAGAAGAGCCGTATTAAACTTGTGTTGTATTGTCCACCCCGTTGTCCAGTGCTTTTTAAGTTTCAGTTTCATCTTGGCGACCAGCAAGTGATGATCTGATGCTATACCAGCTCCTCTCTTGGTTCTCACGTCCTCCTGAACCTTTTGTTGACGCAGATATGGTCGATTTGGTTTTGCGTAGTGTGATCCGGTGAAGTGTATGTGGCTTTGTGTATGCTTTTATGTGAGTAAATAGTGCCGCCTATGAGCAGTTTATTGAAGGCACATAGGTTTGCAAATCTCTCACCATTTTCGTTTCTTCCAGTCCATGTCGTCCCATGATGTCTTCATATCCGATGTTGTCCTGTTCCACCCAACTATTACTGAACAGCACACAGGGATTTCCATTCATTATACCCATGAATACGAACCCGTTCATCACATGAATCATCTCATGTAGATGTGATTGTGCAGATTCTAGAGATGAAATCGATAAAAAGAATAACTATTTCGCTGAAATAGTTATGGTATTAACTGTACTCCAGCGTTAAGCTAGTTAACTTGGCTGATAGAATCTATTCCAATGCATAAAAACTAAATCGTATGCTATATTCTACTGATTGATTAATATAAAAATGTATAGCCTACATGAAGAAAGACAGATAGTTAACTAGTCTGGCTAAATTTCATTGCCGGATTTTTTCCATGAATATCCAACTCGTGTTCACAATATACTTTTCGACCGTTTTCACAGATCCCTAATAAGAACTACATTACTGTTCGATTAATTTTTTAGATTAAACAACATACAGAAGATTTTTCACACCTTCAGTACTGTTTATCACTCTACATGTATCTGCCAAAGCAGTCAAATTGGAAGAACAGAAAGAAGAACCTACCCTATATCCCTTGAACATGTAGATAAGTGTCCAATAGTGTGGTTTCTGTACGTTTATTAGATACTTTGACACATACCTTTGTGATCAATAACCAACCTTATCCCAAGTTGGTTGAAACTACGGCCATCATGCTCTCGAAACCCATGTTTAATAGGAAACAATCACAGACCTTTCTTTTCCTTCCCAACATATCTTTTCTGAGCGAATCTTTTTGTAGTAACACCTTTAAACTCTTTAAGTCATCATTCAACCAACGGAGATTATACTAATTTGTCCCTAATTATCACCTATTTGTATTCAGTTAAATCATCATGTAGCCATGTGATCCTAGTCTCAGTGTTTCGCTACCATTCCATTCGATGTTCCAGAAACTTCTTTCCCATGGGATCTTCATTCATATCAATCAATCTAACATTATTTGGACCAGCCTATTAAAGGCACATAAGTTTGCATATATCTCACTATGGACATAGTAGTTGACAAACTTAAGAGATGAATACAGATAAAGTACAGAGTGTGATTGAAAATTTTATTATCATAATATTATATATAATTTGGTCTCTCGCCCACCAGTGTAGATCTGTGTCAATGATTGTGACCCCACTAGTATTCGATGGGAATGGCGTGACCAACAAGCTAACTACGAAGTCGCCGTACGGTCAGTGCCTACCGTACATAAATCTTTCGTCGTATCCAGGTAACATGGCTACTTTGGTGAACTATCTGCTCAATTATTTTTGCTAACGCCTAGTAACATTTCACTAGCCGTATACGTCGTTAATTTTTTTCTCAAGTATGAGGAAACGGTTTTATCAATAAGTGATTTAAAATACATTTCTAACAACAAGAAGCCAAATCAAATTTCATTAGATTTACTGCCTTCGCTGTAGAAACGCAGAACAGAAACGGCAAGAGTGAATTTTATGCCTTTGTTTCAACTTCAATAAAGTCTGACCGCGTCTTTTGATTATCTTCGTTCGACCTTCAAAAGTAAAGTCTATCTGCGTCCGTTTCAGATATCTTTTGAATTATGTTTGTTTTCTTATTCATGTGTTTCTTTATGACTTTTTGTCTTCACCTTACTTAACTTTTTGTATTAGAGAGTATTATGTAATTCATTAGGTTCACGCACCAATTGAATATATGTACATAAGTTACCTGTAAATATTTTATGCTTGATCAAAAACAGTCTTGCTAATTGTGAGTTGATGTAGCATACCTTGGGCAGATTTTAAGTTTTCTATTTATTGTTCATGTTTATAACCACATAGCTATAGCTATGTTATTTATATTTTCTTAGTTAACGAGTTGATTAATTACGTAGGATTTTTAAGTTATAAGCAATTTGTTCAGGGAACTGTAATGTTATTGGGTTGAAATTTCTCGTGTTTTTATTCGTATGGGTTCTTGCGTTCTCAACATGCGTAATTATTCCGTTTCCCGCATTATTATTCATCCTAATCTTTAAGTCCTTGTTTGAAGAACGGTAAAACATCTAGCTAAGTGATGACTACCTTCTCATTTTAGCTTGGACTTGTGGTTGAGTTCTACACACTTCTGGTCTTCTAACCATTGCTTGGTCTCTAGGATCTATCCAACGGGTTAGCACAAAATCATTGTTCCAACTAGTGACTTCATTGGCGAGACTATAATTTATGGATGAACCATTCAGATTTAAAATAGCAGGTCTTGATTTTTTGCGCAGAATTCATTCACTCAATTAGCCTAATAACATTTCGTCATTACATCTGATATCAGCTCGTGATGAAAACTGTAAATCATATTCCCGACCTCAATGTTCAAGGGTTAATCCTATTCCTTAGTCCTCATACTAATCTATAACCCTTAACTCACTTTATTAATTTGGTGAACGCCTCAAGGTCACTTTAGCACTGCACAAAGGTCGCCCAAAAAATTAAAGACTCACCACCATTAACTTTGAGTGTTTTAAACTGTAACAAAAATTTCATCAGTGTAACCTGGCAGTATATTATTTATTTCGTAGGATGCTGAGAAAGTTCAGAGGGAATTTTGTCATAATGTGTTCCATTTCGACCACGACAATCTTCATCCCGTTAATTCATCAGTGCCTAAAAAGGCATTATCTAGTACTAATATAGATATATTAGCATAAAAATAAGAAAAAAATTAACTCTTGTAGCAAAAATATAGACTGTAAGATTCAGTTTTACAGAACGTTTTATTAAAATAATTCACTGATTGTTCTTAAAACAAGGTCTATATTCTGGAAGACTTCCTTCAGCAAAGCTTATTATTTGATTTTTCTCTTCTTTCCAGGTGTCTATAAGACCGAACCAAGGACTTCCAATTTTCGGCTTATAAGGTCCATTTCTTATTCTTCTATCGCATATTTCAAGTGTACTTTGTTCATTATTTATGCTTAAAAAGACCTGAAGACCGTAGAATATGGCTTAAACATGAGGTATATGTAATTATAAATTTTATCCTATGTACATATATACCATTTCATTCAACCTTGACCTCCATGCATCAATTGCTTGATAACTTAGCACCTATGTACTGTATTCACTCTTTCAAAGATATTTTGCATAGAAATGGATTAATGTCATGTAAAGTGGATATCAGTCTGGTTGTTTGAATGGCTAATAGTTTTGTCTTGCTACATCAAATTGTTCTAATGGAGCGACGTTCAAAATTGTGACTGAGCTACAGATGACGTTGCGAAATGTCCAGCAACCGCATTTTGCGTTGTATGTATCAAGTTTTACCTCATAATACTGACTTCAACTGGGGAATTCTTGCTAAGTATTAGTGTGAAGGTAGTTCAATAAGGTTTTATGCTCGTGACTGAATTGTTAAGAAGGGGAATAAACACCAGCAATAATAGCACGCATTAGAATCCACTTGAAGGTTTATGAATTTTAATAGACATATTAAATAAGGTTCATAATAATTTAGCATTATGGAATAAGAAGATCAGGTGATTGACCTTGAACACCTATAAAATATTGTTTAGCTACATCGAAATATGTAGTATTTTGAATATCAGAAATCTTAACGATATCAGGAAGCAGTAAAATGGAAACATAAGATTGTCTTCGACAATTAAGCTTTTTGTTTATTTTAGCGCTTTGGAAAACTATTTTGTCCAGTTAGGTTGCTTATAATAGTTATGACTGCTGATTAAAATTGTTTAAGACTACATTCATGTCATATATGTTTAGTAGTCATACACAATATACATTTTGTATAGCCACAGCCTCTAATTAACTGTCTTTTCATATATTTCATCCTAAAAGAATTTTGAGGACTGAAGTTACTGGTCTCCACTCTAAGTACTTTGTTACTCGTACTAATCATAAATAATTTCCAAACTTTCTAGAGTATCTTGCTTGTTTGATTCTGAAAAATAGGTTGAGAACCTAAGGTTCATTTTAGCGTGTTCCGTGTTTTTCATGGTTTCACCACTTATCTATCGTATGATATCTTGATGGGGCTTGTAGCTTGGATATTTAGAGTCAAAACTAACATTTAGTAGTCTAGATAGTTTAATACTCGTATTTGTTCGTCGCTCTATCCCTTAAAGACGTTCGAGACATCTAAAGTAAAATTAAAATAAACACTAAACTCATTCTTTAATCCGTTAAGTGATGATTTATTTGAAGATCTCTAAGTGAGATTGTTGGCTGCGATATAAAGTGACAGTGTTTTTAATATGATTTCTGGTTTGAATTATCTATTTGAACTTGTTACATTTCACAGTGATTGCTTAAAAACGGCTTTTCACCTTTGCGACTACATGTTCACGGTTGTGGGCTTCTATGTTATGGCTCATAGTATTCTGATTTCTCTCAGTTAATATTTGCCACATAATTGTATATGTATAAACCCATGTAATGTCATTACTTATCTATAGTATTCATAATTTTTATTTCATATTTTGTTAGAGTCAATTCAAAAGAACTTGGGTGTGTATCTCCCTCTTGGAATTCGTCTTTTGAAGGCATCCTCTATTGGAAACAAAAAGTAGATTCGCGATTAAAGCGTGGCTGTGGTTTGTTTTGATTGGCTATAAATTACTTTCTAGTTTTTTCTGAACACTGGTGCCGGTTGAAGGGAAATATTTTGATTCTTTGCCGTTCTCCAGATAGAACGAGCAATGAAATCTCAGGTGTGGTACTGTTAGAGCGTTTCACTGTGTCGCGTACTAGAGATGAAGAAATATCCTATTCATTTCGTTTAGGTAACTTTGTAGTTCAGAGTTAAACGGCTTGCACAGATTTTGATTCCGGTGATAAACCTCTTGTATTTGTCGCTCGTTCTGAAGATGAGGCAGAGAAGTGGTGTCACCACCTTAACAAGGCACAACTGGCACCTAGGTTACGGCGTTTTACTTTGCTTCGTGATGAAATACGGAGAATCACAGGATCTGATCCACTGGAAGCTGGATTTTCTAGTAATTCAGTTACCCCACCAACTATCGTTGAGGAAGGTAATTGTAAATATTTTGTGAGGCGATGTTATTGTGTGGATCGATGAACTAAGTTTTGTTTATTTTCATTCCAGGTTCATTGAATGACGAGGGACTTGAAGTTATGTTGAGTAAGTCTACTGAACTATTATCATAATTAACGAAGTGCATTCAAAGATGCATTCAACTCCGTGATTAGTTTTTGTTATTTTTCGTAAGCAGTCTTAAAACCAGGGATCCCAATGGATACATAATTGTTCTTCTTTAGATGGTCTACGTATATTCAGTAAAATTAGGTAATAATTATTAGTATGCATAAAATTGTCGTACATTAAATTCTTTAAAAGCGTGTTTTATATCACTTCATCACTGTTAAGACGTTTTATTTAACTGTCTAAACAATATAGTTTGTCCTTGTTGCTATCAACTGACTTTATCTAGATATTATTCAGATTGTTTGTAACGTCTCGGTGTTTTGAACGCTTTGGTGCAACTGAAGACTGATTGCTGCAGAAATTTATTTATTGTTAGCAGGTCCATATATGTAGACTCAATTGTTCTACTTAGTTCATCATTCCATCAAATTCAGTTATTGATTGACGTAGAAATTGATCTTTCATTTGTTACCACATTTGGATTAAATGTATAAATAGAGATGTGAAGAAAAGTTGATTTTGTGCTACAATACGATTCCCTCGATAGATCACTATTCAGTTTTCGATTCTTCATGATAGTCAACTTCCAATAACTCAATTCAGATTTAGGAAGAACTTAGCTACAACCCATGCAATAACAACATTAAGGTATATAATCCAAACTGCTTTAGATACAAACCGTACCATAGTTTTAACCTTTATGGACTTAACTAAAACTTTCGACACTATGCCTGAACAATTAATCTTAGACACATTAGCTAAAACATGCTCATCTAACAATATAAACTCCCGTATAGTTAAACTACTAGATAACCCTAATGGTTATCTAAAGAACACAACTAAGCTTGTCAATGTATGGGGGTTCAGACAGTCTAGTAAAGAAGGTCTCGCTATCTTCAACTTAGTCTTTCAAAATATATTAGAGCAGACTATAGATAAAACCTTAAAAGGGATAACTCTAAAAGATCAGCATGGTAGGACTTAGGTAATTAAACACTTAGAATATGCTGATGACTTGTGTCTAATCACTAATAATACGGAAGAGGCTACTAAAGCATTAAGCAACCTACAACAGCACCTAACTAGCATTGGTATGAAGATATCAATCTCCGAAAGGAAAGTTATGATAATAAATAAGTAGTACAACTTATCAACTGTCAATATAGACAGAAAAGAGATATAGAAAGTAGAAACCTTCCATTACCTTGGCTCTACTATAATTAACAAAGGAACCGCCGATAACACTATAACCTATAACATAGAAAAAGCTAAAACTGAGATAACTAAGATTATACCAGTACTTAAATGTAAAGAACTTAGTCTTAGTACTAAAGTAAAACTGGCGGATTCTCCAATAATACTCATTCTTACATAAGGACTAGAGTCCATAGCGCTAAGAGAGCAAGACTGGACTAAATTAGAAACGTAGGTATCATTACCAAGGTTTGATTTGATAATTTCGAATAAATTGAGCATTGGGTTGATTGTTATAAATAAATAATATATTTGTAATATCCCAATGAGTAGAAAATTAGATTTTCTACTCATTGGGATATTACAAATATATTATTTATTTAAATTAGAAACGGTTCTCAACACAGTAAGACGAATGATCTTAGGTATAGTTGGTAGAGAATAATTTACTATCGAGCAACTTAAACTTAAAATAAACTTAGCCTATAAAATCATCCAAAAGTGGCTAGATCTATGGTATACTGCACACAAAAGATCAAATAATCTAATGGTGAGGTCTTTAAATTGCAACTCTAAAACTACATGCAAAAGTAGAAGAGCTCATACTAAAGATTGGTTAAGACAACTATTTATATTATTTATTTATTTTAACACATAGATATTGGTACAAGGAGGCACCAAATACATATGCGCCACATAAATCTCATTTGGTTAAGGCAACTGCCTCAAGACATTAAGGAAATGAGCGAACGATTACCTAGAAACTGGATAAACCAGCCCAGCAAGATTAAAATTAATGCATACCAAGAATATTTTCTTAAGATAATAGGAAAACACCAACTTAATCACATGTATCAAAACGAAAGTTGCAATAGAAAGTTTGCTACAATTAAAGAAATGAATAGGCATTACAGAAACGACCATTAAGATAGGCTTAATACTGAAGCTTTTTACAACTGTCCCCTAACTGACTATAACAAGACTTAGAAAACATTTGGCTGACTTAACAGACATATCCTATCTTGTCATCCCGAATACAATCAACCTATAATGAAAATTAAAACTCCAATAAATAAAACAACTCCCTAAATAACCTAAATAAATATCCAGACTGTAAATAGACCCTAACAACTAAGACAGAAATAATCAATAATTGCTATGTAGTAAATAGGTGGTCAGCAATTACCACACAGGAAGTAAAACCAAGGACGAAAAACCGCAAAAACAACTATTGAGCCCCGGAAGTTGTGCTGCGCTTCGATGTAGCCTCTACTCCAGAAGGGCCTACTAAGCCTCACCAACTAGTTTGGTTAGAAGGAGCACCACATGGATAACTGGTTTGTGGAGGCAAAGCGTTCATAATGACATCGCTTTTTGATCCTTCAATGTCAGCTCTTGTTATCATTGTGAAGCAGAATTCACCAAGCGTTGGATTGTTTACCCACTAATAAGGAACATGAGCTGGGTTTAGATCGTCATAAAACAGGTTAGTTTTACCCTACTAATGAGTAAATCAGTGAAGTATAATCTGGCCGTTGTTATGCCAATCCTTTTTAGTACGAGAGTAACCACAGGTTTAGATAATTGGTATATGTGACAGGTCGATAGACCAACGGTGTGAAGCTACAATCATTATATATATATATATATATATATATATATATATATATATATATATATATATATATATATATATAATGATATTTCCATGTAAAAGCTTGAACCAGATTGTTATGGGAATTCATTCAAGAAAAATACAACCGGAAATGATTCTTTGAGTTAAAGAATTTACTCTCACTTTTATGAAGAAAGTAAAAAAAGTTACAAAAGGGTCGCCACTGACTTCTATTCAGAGACTTACTTGAATGCACGAACTTGTTGAAAATATTTCGATCAATTTTTAAATTAACATATATTTGTGTACTCTAGTTCTCATATCCTATAGTAGTTTGGAAAACTTAAAGTTTGTTGATTTCTCATTATGGAAGAAAGATTGTTCACATTCCATATCTAATCTTGCTTTGTTACTGATCTGTATTGTTTTTAATAAAAAGTACCTTGTGATTGTGTTCAATTTTAGAATGCCTGAATATTGGAGATATGACGCATCCTAATGAGCTTCCTAATACTTGTCTATTTGTTTCTGTATCAACTTCACTAAAGAATAGTTGGACTCCAGTTGGGGCAACTGAGATAATTGAAGTAATTTGTACGATTAATAACTTCTAGTTACGTTTTGTTTTAGTTTTCTTTTTACTTAGCGTGTAAGTAAAAAATCAAGTAGGAATCTTGTTTGTTGATCAAACTGGATCTTATGAAAATAGCTGTAAAATGATCGAAAAGTGAATTACTTTAGTACTCATAAACCAGTTTGTTTTTTGTTAAGATAATTCGTTTCTGATTGCCATCTGAGTGCCTTTATTTTATCTTCGAGTTTGGTCAGGCTTTCCGTCAGATCATTACAAACATTGCGTATAGACCATTAGTATCGTATTTCATCTTCGTTAGCAGTGTCATATCCGTGCTATAAACTAGTAAACCATTGTGAAGATTGATCAGTGAGTTCGTGAGCTAAGGTAACTGACTAAATAATTATTTGCTAAACATATTAATAACTCCCCATGATACATGCGAAAGTAGTGTATAAGCTTTTGCCTAAATAAAGAAAACTTAAATAAAGTATACTGGACAGGTAATCCAAAGTGAAAATGGGAATCTTAAGTCTAGTGTTTAGCGTCCACAGAGAACCTACATCACATATTATTTTTATTGGAACTTGACAGTTTTTGAGTCTTTAATAGTAGTCAGTTGATATATAGGTATGCCAATGAGTTTAGATACACGGCAATCTAATTGAAAGTTGTTAAACGTTTTGGAATGCTGGTAATCTTTTCAATATTCATGTTCCAAATGACTGTGATTTGCGTGATATTATACTTAAAATCAAATTGATATATTTCTTTCTAACAAAAAATATTAGACTTATCAGACAAAAATTGTCTGATTTTTATTCTGTATTTTTCATATAATCTTCAGTATATTTCATGTGATTTCGTCAGTCATACGTCTAGCTTGGTATTAAAGTTTAGGGATAATTTATTACTAAAAATCACATCTTGGTGTAATGAGCTAGTACCTTTACATTAAACATTTCATCAATGATGTCTAGTTTATACAAGTCACTATCCTGGTAATGAACCGCGATAAATTGATGGAATATGTCAATTTCTTTTCCCATTTCCTTATTTTTTCGTATCTTTTAAAAATTAGAACAACTTAAACTCAAATACTTGTTACAGAAGGATCAAGCAAGCAAATTTTTTTCACATTTATGTTGTAATAAAATTTTCAAAGGTGGCAACTGTGTATTCCTTAAGAATTCCTATGGATTCTGTAAGTGATATCTCGTTAGGTTGATTAGTTTACTAATGATATTTAAAGAGTATTGTTTTAAATCCAAAAAAACAAATGTGATAGGAATATGTGTACTAGTAAATGTCTTCACTTCAAATTAATAATTTATATTATTAAGATTATGTCAATATTAGAATATCGATTGTGGCCATGTGTTTGAAGGAACCTAGTCAATTATTTCTCTTATCGTCACGCTGAAATAATTGAAATAGCGGAAATTTAACAACCCCTTTCTTGTACTGGTGTTTCAGCTATTGGCTTAAATATAAAATCGCCATATGTATGTGTTTACTTACTCTCTGTTTTGTCCTTTTTTCTTTTGGATTTTGCATGGAAATTTCTTATGCGATAAACTGGATGTTTCTAGTTTGATAGAATTTTTCAAAGTAAAGTAATCGCAATAATGTCCAACAAATGTTTACTTGTAACAGGTTCAATTGACGTTAGTGAATTAAGTAAAAAAATGGTCACATGAGGTTTTTGACGAATAATTTTTCCTACTGACAACTTTTCACTTTAAAAAAATTGTGATGTAATTTGTCTTCTTGTTATTTTCCAGTTTATTAATCTTTTTATTGGATAATTGTCGTTTTAAATATGCATGAGTACCTAACCATTTCGGTATCTGAATTTCTTTTTCTTTTTTAATTGATCCCTGTTTCTTGATCCGGTTAAGTTTGTTTTTTGTCTATACTTACTCATACACGAGTTTATATCACATACTTTAGTAGATAATGGTTGGATATATTTAAGTTAATACAGTTGGTACAAATTTGTAACACTTATTTCAGTAGGATAAAATTCTCTTAACTTCATCATTTCTCCGTCATTGGTTCTATTGTTTTAGATAATATGTGAGAGCTTGAGAGGTTTTTACTTTTCAGAATGATTGTTTCTAGAAGTATCTAAAGTTAATGAATTGATCTTACCATACTGTACCAAACCAACCATTCATTTACCTATACAAAACACTGTTAGTTATACAGATAAAAATTTCCATGGTAACCTAGCTTAAGAGTACCACATTATTGTTTAATGTCAATGCTTCATTTTAGTCATAAAACTGTTTTTTTATAATAATTATTATGTTGTTGTTATTATTGCATATTTAGTGCTCTCGGAACCCAATCTTTTCGAAAACAATATTTCTGCGCCACGATTTAATTGATGAGAACAATTCAATACGATTTAGTTTATTTGATATTAAAGATGTAAAATCAAATGTAGTAAGTTAGTTAATCTTTTAATTTTATGCAAAAATTTACCACAGAATTTTAATTGGGATTATGAAGTGATTAAAGTTAGACCATCATTGAAAGCCAGTCTACATTCTATCGTCTTCATGTAACATACAAAACTACTAACTTTATAGATGAGTGACATTGATAATACGTAAAGGAAATATGAAAGACTAAACACAACGCTTTATTGTGATACATGCAAATTGACTTCATTACGTAATATGTTATTAGGCTTACACTGATAGTCCTTCCAGTCAAATTCAGTTTTAAATTTTCATACAGCTACTTAACTGTTATTCTACTTTCAGTTGTATTAGTCTATTTTTTCTAATTAGATTGGTTGTTTATTATTTAGACTTAATCACTAAAGAGATTTTAATTACTTTTTTTATTTAGAGCGCTTTAATCGGTGAAACAATTACAACATTAAAAGTATTATTGGATAGTTCATCTCTTCTATTACCATTACGTGATGATTGCTCTACAATACCTGTAAAGTATGAAGGTTTAGAGACGACTTTTCCATCAATAATTGTACAATCAAGGAAACAGAAGTCATTAGATCCCACAGCAGCTAAGGTAATTCATAATATCTCCTTTCATGTTAAAGTGTACCATTTTTTACTCTGTTGTTTACTCAAGTACTCTGAAAATAATAAAGTGATTTTTGATAAATACAGAAGGAACGAATTGAGCGAAGAAATTTCTTTTCAATTAGTTTTTCATCATGGCTCTACACTAATATATATATGATTTACAATAATGATATAATACTCATTGAGTGGATAAGTTACGTAATAATTACATAATGACATTTAAATTAACATCTAGTATTTTGGGAGGAAGATGATTAATATTCAAAGTAATTCTTAAATCAAGAAGTTGCTAAGTTGCATAATGTATGAAAAAGAGAAGGAACAGAATTTGTAATGGTTGGTCAATAGAATAGCAGTTACGTAAGAATCAAGAGATGACTGTTGAGAAATTATAAAGTTTAAAAAGAAAAGGAAAAAAGAAAAAAAAACCAAAATTAAAAACTACAAACCAAATGCTACAAGTATGGAAAATAGTTCAGTTAAAGGGAATGTTATACAGATGGCCAGGGCAGCGAAAGTGGTTGAAAAAATTTCTTCTGAATGCAAAGGTTAGGTTTGTGAACATGGATTGCGATGGCTTCCGCAATGTGTAAAAGGCGCACTCGTAAACTATGTGGTAAATTTGATGGGATATGGTAGATAACCTTAAAAGCTTTATTCAATTCAACTTGGTGACCTGTGTCAACCAAATGAGCGAGAATAGAACTTTTAATCCCTTTTACCTGTCCTTTATTTAGCCACGATGGATGATGTTCTGTAATGCGGTGACGAACTTGCCGAATTGTACGCCCTATATAACTGGCTCCACAGGAGCAGTTGAACTGGTAGATACACATAGATTTGGCGAATTCAGGCAGTCTGTCTTTGCTGGTCGTTCTTATTTTGGGGTAGTTATAGAAGATAGTATTCAGTTTGGCTGCATTAAATGTTTTTTTTGTACAGCTCTTCTTAGTTTCTGAGTCACGATCTCTTCAGTAGTATCATTTATGTATTGTAATTTTATGAATAGTACTTTCTTCGGGACCGTGGATATCTTCGCTTTTGGTTTCATCTCCATCATGTGTTTGTCAATGAATTTCATACTATAGCAAAATGGTTGGTACAAATTGTCAAACCATTACACAAAGAAATTGTCAAACATAGTGTCAAGGATTCTTTCGAATTTGTTGATAATATAAAACATCTATCGGTCAAGAATAATTTCATGATATCACTGGATGTATCATCCCTATTCACGAACATTCCACTACTGGAAACGGTAGAATTTATTTGCAAAGAACTAACAGTGAGGCACATTGAAACCGCAATTCCCATATCTGCATTAAAACGGTTAATTCTCAAATGCACAATGAATGTACAATTCAGATTCGACAATGAATATTATAGACAAATAGATGGAGTGGCCATGGGGTCACCATTGGGCCCTCTACTAGCGGACATTTTCCTTGCAAAACTGGAAAATGGACCACTTAGAAGCACTATTAGCCACTTACCAACTTATTATCGCTACATTGACGATAGTTTCATAGTGTTAGAAAAAGAGTGTGATAAAGACAATTTACTTAATACATTTAATAACGTTCACCCATCTATTAATTTTACATCAGAAGATGAACAGAACAATAGCATATCGTTTTTAGATGTCCAACTAACCAGACGAGCAGATGGGACTTTAAAAAGAGGATTACACAGAAAGTCGGCAACAGGACAATACACCCATTTCTACAGTGCAGTGCCAATTAGATACAAAAGGAACTTGATAAAGATCTTGACCCATAGGGCCAGAAGGATTTGTTCGGAAGACACCATTGAAGAAGAATTAGCTAAGATTCGGAACATACTTAGTACGAATGGGTACCCTTTGAAATTCATTGACAAACACATGATGGAGATGAAACCAAAAGCGAAGATATCCACGGTCCCGAAGAAAGTACTATTCATAAAATTACAATACATAAATGATACTACTGAAGAGATCGTGACTCAGAAACTAAGAAGAGCTGTACAAAAAAAACATTTAATGCAGCCAAACTGAATACTATCTTCTATAACTACCCCAAAATAAGAACGACCAGCAAAGACAGACTGCCTGAATTCGCCAAATCTATGTGTATCTACCAGTTCAACTGCTCCTGTGGAGCCAGTTATATAGGGCGTACAATTCGGCAAGTTCGTCACCGCATTACAGAACATCATCCATCGTGGCTAAATAAAGGACAGGTAAAAGGGATTAAAAGTTCTATTCTCGCTCATTTGGTTGACACAGGTCACCAAGTTGAATTGAATAAAGCTTTTAAGGTTATCTACCATATCCCATCAAATTTACCACATAGTTTACGAGTGCGCCTTTTACACATTGCGGAAGCCATCGCAATCCATGTTCACAAACCTAACCTTTGCATTCAGAAGAAATTTTTTCAACCACTTTCGCTGCCCTGGCCATCTGTATAACATTCCCTTTAACTGAACTATTTTCCATACTTGTAGCATTTGGTTTGTAGTTTTTAATTTTGGTTTTTTTTTCTTTTTTCCTTTTCTTTTTAAACTTTATAATTTCTCAACAGTCATCTCTTGATTCTTACGTAACTGCTATTCTATTGACCAACCATTACAAATTCTGTTCCTTCTCTTTTTCATACATTATGCAACTTAGCAACTTCTTGATTTAAGAATTACTTTGAATATTAATCATCTTCCTCCCAAAATACTAGATGTTAATTTAAATGTCATTATGTAATTATTACGTAACTTATCCACTCAATGAGTATTATATCATTATTGTAAATCATATATATATTAGTGTAGAGCCATGATGAAAAACTAATTGAAAAGAAATTTCTTCGCTCAATTCGTTCCTTCTGTATTTATCAAATGTCCAAATGGGAATTTTCACTATATTAAAGTGATTTTTGATTTTTTTTGTGTATAAACTTTTAAGACAGGCATACGCTTGAATGAGTTACAATCGAATGTATTTGTTTACTGGTAGATAAGATTTTAATCAGATCATCCTTTTTTTTCAATATAAAAGTACAATTATCACGCAAATTTTATTAATTTACTATCAGTATATCTGAATTTATCACTTGTTAACACTTGATAGTAATATGAAATTCTCACGTTTATTATTCATAATAATAGTTAATATTTCGTAAAATCAATTTCTCAATCACATGTTCTACTCAACTTTTAAGTTTTAAAGCAATTAGTCTCTTTTATAAATTTCGATAGAACAATGAGAAGACGGAGTTGATCTGAAAATATGTGATGTATTTGTGTTATACACTTCGAACAATATGGTCATACATATATTTGGCAGGGCATTTTATATGAAAATTAATGAAAGTTAACGTAAAAAAGGTAAAAAAGGGGGAGAAACAATTTTATATCATTTAGAAAGAATAAGAAATTGTCACATAATCCTAAACCATAGAAAGTCAGTCGAATTAATTATTTGTCAATCTATTAAAATTTGAAGTGTTAAAGTAACAAAAATTATACCTTAGTGATTCTTAAATAATGTTCTTATATAAACAATGATTTTTTTCAATAGCTGAAATCATAAGTCAATTGGAGCTAGACCACCATGGAAAACCTGGAAATACTGGACGGCCGTTTCGTCCTAGTATGGGACTCCTCAATAGTGTGCATCCACGATCCCGCCCCCCGCGGGATTCGAACCCAGGACGCCGGCTCAGTGGTCTAATGGTTAAGCACTCGCGCGCGAGACCGATAGGTCCTGGGTTCGAATCTCGCGGGGGGCGGGATCGTGGATGCGCACTACTGAGGAGTCCCATACTAGAACGAAACGGCCGTCCAGTACTTCCAGGTTTTCCATGGTGGTCTAGCTTCAATTGACTCATGATTTCAACCATTGAAATTACTAAAATCTCCACAAAACCCATTCCGATAATAATTTTATTATTATTATTAACATTGATAATCAGTTATTCATTGTAAATTATGTGTTTTGTATTTCATTTAGTGTTTACACTACATTGTTTCCTTTCATATATCTCTACAGAAAAATATTTATTTGTTAATTAAAATCAGATGCTGTCTAGTCAAATTAAACAATAATAATTATAATCTCATACGATGATTGATGTCCATCTTTTTCTGTGTACGAATAGGTAGCACTATTTAGGTGCCCACATACAACATGATTTTAAATATACAACCTAAAGGTTAAAAAAACAAGTGTTTTATTCATTGTGCCTCTATTTTCGGTGATTAGTTCATTATCGTTGTTTGTAACAGATTTGAATGCCAATCCATCTATTAATATAAGCAAATAAGAAACAAATTGGCTTGTGGTGTTTGAATGTCTAGTGTATATATATATATATATATATATATATATATATATATATATATATATATATATATATATATATATATATTATCTGTCGATTTCATACCAGGTGCAATATGCCATCACGTATTTCATGGATCTCAAAAAATTTTTCCCATTGTTTCATAACTTTAATTACTTTGGTCTTGTGTTGTTAGTGTCGTTTGCTTGATATTACTTATTATTATTTACAGTTTAGTAAACGGATATGTACGTGATCACTTGATTATATTACTGTCATGAATATTCTGAATTTTGTATTGTGAGTTAATCGTATGTTTGATTATTTTTCTAGGTTGATGCTAATATGTTGTCATTACGTTCAGTATGTGATAATCTATTGTCTAAACGATATAAATTCCAAGATTCAATGGGTGAGACAATGCATATTATTGAATTTATGGGTGAATCAAAGCTATGCTATGCTTTTCCGATAGAATATCTGTAAGTTAAATTACTAGTATCGTTTGTTGCTTATGTTTTACTCAACACTATCAATTTGTTATAGTCAAAATATGTAATGAAGAGGTCAGTTAGTTGACCCTTTTTCTTAACTAATGATTTATTTTTATTGATTAGATAATGCATAAATAGTTATAGATGGTCGTCTTAAAAATATGTTACTATTAATGATCAAAGAGATTTAATTTCACCATTGTTTCCATTAAGAGTTATGGAATCAAGACTTATGGTATTGTTTTTTGGAGATAGAACCTAATATTTATGACCAAGACCGGTTACTACAAATGTTTACCACTTATGTTGTTAATTATAATCTATAGCTTTGATAATTTAACTTCAGTCTATTTTGGAGGGATAAGGCCTGGTACTGGAGTTAAAAATGTGTATACATAAATAATGATGTAATACACTTTCTATATATAGCCTTTAATAAAGTGAATTCTCTCCGAAAAGCAACTTAAATTTCTAGGTTTAAAACTACTCTTTTATTCACTTGCATTTTTACGTAGAAAACTAAAATTTGACCAAATTAAATAATTTAATGTATCCCATATCGTCACAGTTGTTTGCAATTAGTTCTTTTATGAAGGCCCTTTTATTCTAAGAAATTGTAGGAAGCCGAGATCTTTGATGTGATCGAAACTAACCATATGATTTCCAATATATTAGTCGAGCGAGATTTTCAACGTTATTAGCTAGCTAAGATTGGTTATAAACTTTGTAGAACTGAAGTATTAATCAACTATTTTCCTATAGGTAGAATACGTACACGTACATAACTGTAACTAATCTAGTAGTGAATAGTATTGTGATGATTATGTTGTAACTATATTATAAAACCGAGCCAATCAAGATGAAGATATCGATTCAAAACGCAACGCCAGCTAATATTCTTTCATAATGTAAGCCCATGTTGCATTATCATGTTGTGCACAAATGTTTAGAAGGAATCTTGTTATACATTGCCATTTCTGTTTGCGAGTTTGCTCTGATTTAGATAAGACTTTGTTAACCCACCATTCTGTACAAGTTTTATAGCATAGGTTATGCACAAAGATAATTTCAACTTGAATGTCTGTGCTTTTCTAGAACTTAGTGTAAAAATCAAAGGTATTTAGAATATGTGTACATTAATATTCTTTTTGATATTTTTTGATAGAAAAACCTTAATTCAGTCAGAATATTTGATATATGACTCTTTATCTCGAACTGGATCGGTAAGTTTTGTTTTAAATTTGGGGTTTAAAATGTGTGCGTCATTCGTTTTTATATATCCTGCTTCAATTTTGATAATGCAAGGAAAACACTCACATTCAAGATGTATGATAAACCTTAATGACAGAAAATAATATCGTTCATGGCAGACAAATATCATGTAATTTTTTTGTTTGTAAATCTAGACAGTATGTTACCATATTTGCATTCGTCTATATCACCTCGGTTATATTACATTTTGATATATATCAATCTAATTTGAACTTCGTATGTGTTTTTCGTAATGTGAATTTGTAAGTCATGTAATCATTAATATAAGGTCAGATATTATGTAAATTGTTGTGTCTTATAGACCGCTAACCAAAACAATGTGCTAAATCATCAACCAGATTCCCGATTTTAATTTGGTCGATTTCGCGTCTACTATTACTCAATGGCTTAGTGTCTCTGTCTTCGCCAATCACTCATCCGACTAGCACTAATAATCTGAGTCAACAGCTAAGCTTCTATTGGTTTACTATCCGCAAGTTCTTTATCATGGCCTGTCTTTGAGTCCAAAAGTCAACAGTCAACCTGTTCTATACTAGATTTATATTTTAAACACGTATTTTACATACAGACATACCGGACCGAATCATACTATAAAATAGAAAAATAACAGTTATACATAAAGAAGCAAAATGTGATTGTGGGTAGGAGAGAATGCAATTTAATAGACTGGCAACAAATAAGGAATATTAAGTTGTACAGCAGTACTTTGTAGGTTAGCCGAATGCTTATGATAAAAGGACTACATATGCATAGTAATTTAGGAACTATATTATACAACAAAGTTATAATTATAATTAATAATATCTGTTTAAATCACACGTCACATGGAGTCAGGAAAGAATAAACAAATGATTAAAGCAGGACTTGTGTTTTATGTTCTGCTTTTTGGATGGTGTTTTTACTTTCAGTGAGGTTGAAGTTTCAAGGAAGTTATTCTATAACTAAATATTTTGTTGTAGCTTGAATAATAAGTTAGTGATAATGAGGTACCACTGACCTATATAATGAATTGATAGATATCGCAAATAAGTACCCTAGATTAAGTAATTAACACAACAACTTTATCTTAACGTGAGAACCAAGGATATCTAGGCTACAAAATTATTTAGGAACTCCAGCATTTTCCAATTTGCAGCTGTTTTTCCGTATAAGTTTTGTCGTAATTCAATCCGTGTTGTTACGAATTTTAATTCTGGTGGATACTTCTAGTGATGCTGTATTTCTGTATACTGAATGCTGTTTTATTGTAAGGCTTTCATTGTTCTGGACAACAAAAATAAAAACCGATCAAAAAACAACCTTAAAAACTGGATCGTAGGAAAGATACTAATTGTTTTTTCTGATAAAAATTTGTTTCTAACTGTATTTTTTCTCTTTGTCAAAAAGTTACCTTTACTTTTTTGACTGTTATTTTTTCGCCAGTCGAAACCTGTTATTGAAAGCTTACGAAAAGAACGAATGATTAGCATGAAACAAACATTGGAACGATATGAAGCTAATTTAAGGAATTTAGTTGATTACACTGGTGAGTGTTGAATATATATATAACATTACGTATTACATAATGGCTTGGTTATTCGTTTACCATCATAATTGCGTCTACTATTCGCAGCTGTTTTCTATTGGTCCATTGCATCGCACTGTTGAAGCAAGCTAACATTGGAACGACTACATGTATTCACATTTACTCCTAGTTTTAAATAGGTATTCATGTATTTTGATTGACTATTTTGTATTGACAGAAAAGTGTATGTTGTTTTGCTGGGTTTTACTTTGTTGTTGTTTAATTCAGTCTGTTATTTTTTAGCAACAAAACACAGTGAAAATACTATCAGTTTTTGCTGGAGGTAGCATACTTTTATCTGGCAGTGTCATGAAAATTGCTAACAGATTAACTTTTCTTTGATTTCCTATGACTAATCCATTTTGGAGTGAATATCTGAATAAGTCGACCATACTTTATTTCCTAAGTGTCTAACTTATTTATGTCTAGATGTGTCGTGTGTGTAAGAGTTAGTAGTGATATCCAGTTGACTAAACTATATTTAATGAAGTTAGATTCAAGTTCGCCGTTCAAAGGTTAAAAATAGAATGTTCTGGACACGAAACACTCATCTCAGGTTACTGATTTATCTTTATTGTTAACAACAGATTTGAACTTCACTCCACTAACTGATTGACTGAGCCATACAAAATTTGGTGAAGACATACATTAGTGCAATCTGCCGCTATTTTTCCCAATAGAAGAAAGGTATCGAAATATAGACTAAAAAACAACATAATTAGACAGGTTATTGACTAGCATACCGTAATAAAATATTCAATATACCAGTAGGATACACTGAGTGTATCTGAATATGTTGTGTGTTTCAATATAGAAATTTTTTCGTATACATATCTTCGGTGACTTAGCTAAATTTTTGTTACTTAAACAACCATAATGCAATTAATTATCTAGGTTTTCCGATGATGTTTTACACAGTGGAAGTTCGTATCCACATGTGATGGTGTGAAGACTGTGCAACATAGTCTATTGAATAAAAAGGCTTTAGGATTGTGTTTGTTATTTTTTGTTAGCTAGATATAGATAAATCGAACTTGTGCAGTTGTGTGTAATTTCAAGATTAATATAATTTTCTTGCTACTGTTTGAGTGCATCGTTATTAAGGATTACCACTTTTTCAAATAAATTATCTTCCAGAAGTTGGTGTACATTTCTATCAAACGAATAATCAAATTAATAATCATTCTTGCTCATCACATTAGTAGTAATTGTGTCTCGATTATCCCTACTGGTTTATTATTTGCGTACAAGCGACTTTGAACAATAAAATTCTGATTTCTGAATAGATCTAACCTGAAAAACGGACTGTTGATAATAGTAGGAAACTAAACTTTAAAGAAATTCGAAAAGAAATATGATTTTGAGGAGAAACGTACGAAATAGTACTATATTCATGACCTAGAAGAAAAAGGAATCTGTAAAGTCGTCGCCGAGCTGTTTTTTTATGGCCTCGTCATGTATGCTACGGTTAGATCACAAATACCGACAAACGCTTATCCAACTCTGATTCACATAAGATTCAGCAATTTTGAGGATCGGTGCTTTTGTTTGGTCTGTATTCTTGCTTTAACCAACCAGAAGCCCTGTGGTAACCTTTGGCCGAGCTTGCGTAACATATGTCGTAGTTGTCTGAGCTAATGATAGTTCATAACCTTATCAACCAAATTATCAGTACCATGTCATCCAAAATCACTATTAAGTAGTTAGTGTTTCTAACACATCACATCAGCCCACGAAGACACTTGTTATTTATTGAGCCGTGTAGGTAGATGCTGCGTCCGTGTGGTTGTCGTAACTACTAATCCATATTTTCTACCATCTCTAATACTTTACTATATTCACTACTCTAGGATTTGTCTTGATAATTTCATCTTGTGCTAATGGAATATGACATCTTGGACCGATGTGCACATGTGGCAGGTTCTACGTTGTATATGGCTGGATCACTGGTTGAGATATTCTTTTTCTCTAGTGTCTGTTTGTACTTATTCCTTGGTCGTTTGATCACAATTAGCACTGAACATCATTAGGTGTAAATCATAACTGCTAAAAAATGTTGAGTCTTAATTTTCTGGTACTCACTACACATATTCCACTTTTCGATAATCCTCTTTTTATTAGCAATATTGTAAATATTTCACATTCAACTTTCCATTTTTATCTTAGATCAGTTTTGACAGCTAAGTTGAAATCAACTAGTATAACGTAAACCAGTATATATATATTATTGTTAAAAAGTTATTTTAATTTAAGCACTACAACATATTTGTATATATTTACTTTTTATAGTTTATGTTTTCAAAAAAACTTTAATTTGAAAGAAACTTTACTGATACTGTAGGTCCTCTATTCAAATCATCTAATGAACGTGCTAATCCTCGCTATGATTTTGTTCCGACCAATCTTCACGTAAATCAGATAGCTTTAACAGATGTAGACGGCCAACTAGGTAAGGTTAAAGATTGTTACTGTTATTTTTTGGTCTATAATGTATCGCGTGAGAAAATTAATATCAAAACTGGTATTTTCACTGTGATGTGATTCTTTGTACCGATTAGTTTTGTTTTTATCTGTTCTTGGAAATTAGCTATAATTGTAATAGACTCAATTGATAATCACATCTGCTATTAAAAGGCAAATTCTTCATTTATTGGTAGCTGGACAGAAATCATACGCTGGTTAAAACAAAGTGGAACTCAGTTTCATCCTAAAGGTTTCGATAATTTATCACCTTTAAGTTTGATTTTGACCTTTCTATCTGATTTAAAAGGCAGGGAAAAAATTCTAGTCAGTTTAGATTTGTGTCACAGATGTTATTAACATATTGAATTTAGCCTAAACACTGATTCCATAGGGTTTAAGTAATATTTTGGATCCCTACAGAATGTTACTACATTATTCAATAATGTTGAGCAGATAGAATGGGGTCTAAAAGCGAATACATTCAACTGTTATTTCATAGGCTCGAAATTCGCTCCACCTAATTCGGTTTGAGCGTTCCCGTAGTACCATTACCCCTCACGCAATCAAAATACCACTGTACGTTGAGTACATTAACATATGTTTGGCAAGTGAATATTGTCGACAGAATAATAAATCTTCAATAAAAAAACGAACGATAGAAATCTCTGATTTTGTTTAACTTCAGTTCTTCGATCGACTGTGTAGATCTGCATCATATAATTCAGGTGAAGTGTGGTCTGAAAGCAAAAGCATATCATACATAGGAAATGTCATAAATAAAAAATGGATGAAGCACCCAAATCAGTCACTTTTTCGACAGATATATGTGTAATGGAATTATAAGTTATCATAGATGTTTTTCACCACTTCTTTGATATTTATTCGGAAATAAAACCGGAACTAACTTGTTTGATTGAATGATGGGTACTTTATTAACATATCAATATTAGAAAATTCTGAAGCTTCTCAAACTTTTGAGTATCCACCCTTTCCATAAAGTACTTGGGTAATTTTCAACAGTGATGACTTCAATTAATACACAACAGTTCCTGGGTTATATATATATATATATATATATATATATATATATATATATGTATATATATTGAATCTGTTTATATTTATTAGGATCAGGAATAATGACTAACTGTAGAATGAGTAAGATTATATGATATTTAAAGTTGAAACTGTTTTGTTTATTCAATTTTCTTATTTTTAGCTTAATAAATAGTTGTTTATTATGCCAGGCATAATGATATAATTCAGCAGGATTTTAATATTTAAATGTCAATCATTAGATGATGGACTCAATTTGTTTTCAGCACCTAGACTCATGAACATTAACATTAGGTTTCTTAGAATAGTTAGGATTTAAAATCTATTTCTTGATTCAATGAATCTACATTAGTTGATGAATTAATTCATATTATAAATAAGAATAGAAATGAGTCGTTAACTTGATTATTCACAAATAAACAAGTAAGTACTATATTCATTATCATAAATTCAGTATGTCATTTATATTTGATCAGTAGATGTAGATTTATTTTGATTATGTTATAATTTCTGATTTACTATTTTGTTGGGATGTAAACATCATTGTAGATTATTACACAATATTAAGTGGTAGTAATGATATTTTCTTCTTAAAATTCAATCTGGGTATTTTCTCAATTTCAGTGGTCAGTTATGATAAATATAATAGACCTTGATTTTTGTGTAATTAGTTTTTAAAGAAAAAATATCTTAAAACGTTTGCTAAATTGTGGAAAGCGAACATAACTCGTTTAATTTCAGTAATACTGATATATGTTGTTTGAGATGTTTACCGAAATAAAATGTTTCTCTTAACTACTGAATGTTGGCTTAAATCATATGGATAATTGTAAGCTTGGTAGATTAGATCTGTGAGATTGATCAATAGTTGCCAATTTTCCGTGTTATACATTGAACTGTAAATTAGTACCTTGACTGTATCATACCATATTTAATTAATGTGCTATTCTCCTGAAGGTAGGAAATATTTTAGGTAATTGTGTGAAAAAAGAATTTTTATTGTTTATTATGTAGTAGTGTTGTTTATAACGTGATCTTTATCTATGGGGGAATTAATATTATTTATTATGAACTAAATTATTCTTACTGGAACTAGTGTTTATTTTTTAAGTTTAGAAACCTACGCAGTTGTACATTATTTCAGAAGTAAAATAAAGTAGTGAGTTAGTGAACACTGAATATAGATTTAATTAAAGTATTTCCATACAATAAATAAATAATATATTATATTATAACAATCTCCCCAATGCTTAATTTATTCGCAATTTTCAAATCAAACCTTGGTAATGATACCTATATTTCCATACAGGTTTAAGGTGTAGCACGCTGATTGGCTATTTCTTACCCAATCAGCACTAGTGGACACTTGTAGATTTTAGAATCTTCTTACGCAAAAAACTGTGAATATACTAAAGTTTCTCTCATTGTAATTCCTACTTCAATCTACCCTTGCTATTTGGAATATAATTTCGTTCCTGTTCAACTGTGTTCAGATTTGGGGACTTGTCGAGTGAAGTGTGCAAGACTATTAAGCAATAAGAGAAATTGTAACAGAGATACACGGTGAAATTAAACCTAGAATGTGTCTGATTTGAACGGGAAATTCACTACAAGTATAAATGTGTTGTTTGCTATTTATTAGTTGACAACATCATTTAATCAGTCAGATTATAGACATACTCCTTCAATAACTTATAGTGTACGAAAGTAAATGTGTTACTGACAATCGCTCATAAATTTTAACGTTAATATATTATTTTAGAATATAAATAAGTTTTTTGAATTAAGCTCTAAAGTATAAACCACTGTTCCAGTGATATGACAAGAAATAGTGTCAATTACACTCGTTTTTTTACTTTACTCTGAATATTCAGTTGACACGTTCTATGGTTTTCTTTTTTCTGATTTCATTCGTTCCCTGTATATGGTATTTCTCATATTTAGATTTTCATTTCAGTTAGTTTTTACCCTATTTCTGTCCTCGTTCTACTAATTTTTCCGTCTTTTGTTGTCATGATATGCTACAGCTTATTTTGTATGTTATTTTTATAGTCGAACGACAAATCAGATTTTATGAACATAAAGATTTCTTGATTTTTCCAAATGTCCAATTTATTCGAAAATCTCCATTATGATTTCGTCTTCATTTTTCTGTTTCTCCCTTTTCTTTAAACAATTCAGTCTCCTCGCATAATATAATATCTGTTGGTGCATTTTCATTGGCTTCTCGACGTTATAAATCTGGTGGTTTATTTCGTATGGCATTCGATACTATGATTACACCAACACGTACATATCCACCTTCAGAATTATCTTATTTAAATATATCATCGGAATCACCCGTAGCTTCTTCTACATGTCTTTTAAATACAAAACCAATTGGTAAAGCTATGGATTTATTATATCGTGGAACACATTCTATTGCTTTATTAAGATCTGATTTAGCTGGTCTTATTCAAAGATTAAACGCACCTGGACAGGCTGAACCATTAGCTCAACGTTTGCAAAAAACTGTACGTTTTTAAAAATGTTCATTTTTAAAAATATTTTTGTCTAATTTTGTCTGTACATTCAATGAAGTAAACCTTTTCTTAAAATAACCCATTGTGCCATTGAATAAAAATAACGAAAATTCAGCGAAGAAAATGTTTTTGACGAAATCATTTACTTAAGCTCTACACTCATACTCTGCACGCAAAAACGATACGCCCAGCCACCTATCCTTCCTTGGCCCTACTTCTCTTCTGTCATATGCTTCGTTTATTTTTTAAATTACTGTCTTGTAATTTTAAGCCGTAATAATATATTATTATCCTTCAACAATTTTCCATGATTACTATTCAGTTACTATTATGACCTTTATGGTTTCCGTTTTTCTTCATGTATGTCAAGCGGACAATCATCTTTTATAGTTTCGACCCGTAAATTATTTTCTATTCTTATCTGACCCCCCTGATTTTTACACAACTTCATTTAATATTTAAAACCTCAAATCACTTTATGATGTGATCTTTTCTATCTTTTTACAGACATATATTTACCAAACAACTATAAATATGAATGTACAGCTTGAGTAAATGTTTGCGTCGAATAAAAATTTTTCTTCGCTGAATGCTCTTTCATTTCCTGGAGGCTTTGTTTTACTATATATGATGAAGTTTAATACACATAATCATGTTGTGCATTTTTCAGCTAAAAAATATATCGGTATGATTATGTAAAATAACAATTTTTAATAAATATTCGGTCAATATGCTCAATTTTGCACCAATGTGATACACGCAAATGTCTTTTATTGTGATCATATGATCACCACTTCGCGGCAGGGATGTTGTTTATGAAATGGTGAGGGCGAAAAGCGTATGTTTGGCGCTTTAATTGGGTTGCTGGTCACGGAGAATCCATCTAGGGGAGTTGGGAAACCCTAGTTCGAAACCAATGGTGCATATGGGCACCAGGTTCCTGAGGTAACAAAAGGCTTATGAACCCATTGCTGGTCATCGGCTACTATTGGACTGCATTTTCTAACGTCGCTCCACTGTCTTGTGGATTAGACCTCTAGATCAATAGCTCGGGTAATGGCCTCCTAATAAAACCACCTGCTTCGGTTTCGGTACCCGTGCAGTATTCAATCCCTCACGCGTATCTAATGACATATGTGGCGTATTTATATTTGGTGCCTTCTTTTACCAATGTTTATGTGTTTAAATAAATGAATATGCTGTTATAAATGCTTTGAGGTTGATTATAAACTTTAATACAAGTAATTATGATTAAACAATTGATTTTGGTTTCAGGTTATTTAAATAAATTAATTCCTTTATTTCACTGTATAGGTATCTTCTATACAGTGGATATTTTCAGATAAATTATTATCTAACTTAAATGTTTTACCAGTTGTTTCATGTGATTTCGAAGTGATCATCACTTTACTTACACAATTATCATCAGTAGAAATAATGAAATCAAATTCTCAGTAAGATTTAATTTATTATTATATTAACAATTTCTTTTAGTTTTTATATCCATTTCATAAATAATCATTTTCAGTGTTCTATTTTATTAATTTTTGATTACAATAATTATAATTGTTTATTATTTATTAAAAGGTTTAATCTAAGTATTCAATGTATTGTAAAGTCAATCATTGTAGTAATAATAATAATATTTTATTCACAATAACTATAAGTTACATGAGGCATGCTAATTTATAGGCAAGATCAAATACTTACATATGTTACGATATCCACTACAATAAACTTAATTTCCCAGTTTGATTAACGCGTTGTACCGAAATTTTTGTTGTAGAAATAAAAGAACACAAACTATTGGTGCATAAAAACACGATTATTGGGATTAAAACTGATATGTACTACGTGAAATGCGGCATGTCATATAGATGCCTCATTACAAAGATGAACTGTTGGTTGTATATATTGCACGTGTATCACATAGCCGTCGTTGAAAAGGGCAAATTTTTACATAGAGTTTGGTGTTTCTTGTTGCTGCTCTCCAGGTAGCTACTATAACAGGATTTTTGTAGAAAAAAATTCTGTTTAGCCGTCAGTCGATGAAAGTCATTACATTCTCCTCTTGATTCTGTAATATCATTGAAAATACTGATCATATTAAATTTCTTGACTGATAGATTTCCAGCACTGATGAATTTTGCGCATTATAGTGTTTGTAATCTGGCCATCAGTACGTTAACATGATTCAGCATTAATGATGTAATTTCGCAGTTGACTAAAAGTTATTTCCAGGAAAGATATATAACTGTTTTGGATTAAAGGAGCTAGTTTGAATATAGCGCGCGTTGCATTTGTGTACTTTGTGTAGATGCTACTGCATTTAGTGAACTTTGATTTTTGGTTTAGAGTTTCATCACCTTTGACGTACTAAATGCAACTTGTAACATATACATTTGTATTTTCACATAATCCATGTCTTTTTCATGCTCAATGTTCACAATTCTATAAAAAGTTTATTGATTCAGAATCACCTATTCAGCTTTTGTAGTTAAATGTCATTTTTAGTAATGTTTTGTTATTGATATTTCAGGTAATCACTCAATCTGATTTCAGTTTAACTGAAAGCTTGTTGGATTTATTAGTCTGTCTATCTTTCACTGTCGTTTGAAAATGCATGACGATTTTCACTGTCAGCAATTTATTTCCAACTAATATATTAATTCATTCTGATTAATCTTGACTTATCCTTTTTATCATTTCACATAACTTGAATATCTGGGCTACCTGTTCCTCCCATCTAGATATTTCGTCAAGTTATCTGTTTTCTTGTTTGTTTTAACACACTCTTATATCTATTGAGCTCACAACCTATTCAGGCGCGTTTATGAAAAGTTTACAATCTTTCGCTGTACGGATTACAAAAAGGTACAACCAGCGACATCATGGTGGTTTGCAATATGCATTGAAACGAATGAACATTATTCAGATGTCGATTATCGAACTCCTAACATCTAACTGGCCATCACTCAATATTTATCGTGAGGATCGATCAAGATATAAGACAAGGAAACTTGTTGAAATACTTTATGCTGAGAATTCAATATTGTACCAAAAATATAATGTTGAATAAAGCTTATAATAATAATATATATCAAAACAGTGTTGCCAACGAGATTTAGTAACGTTGAATATTAAATTCCTAATTGTATTAGTTTCTATCCTAATTCGACATTCTTTTCGTTATAAAAAGAGACATTTTATCATATTTTTTTAAAAATTTTATTCAAATGTAGATTATCACAACCCAATGATCATGTAATAATTATAAATAAAAAGAAAAATGAATCTCGTGAAAATTTACTAGATTCTTTAGATAAAGCTGGTCAAAAATTATCTATTACGTTGGAACGTATATGGGAAAGTGCAGCATCAGTGCTATGGGATCATGTCTTGTCAGGTCTTGCAGATTTATCAAATCAACAAACTCTTTCTGTTAGTAAAGAAAGTAGTGGTAATTATTCTGATTTAATTGCTGAAGCAGAACGTTCCGCTTATCCTAATATGTTACCAATAAATGACAATGTACTTACTGCTGTTTCAATTATTCAAGATTCATTCAATTATCGACATCATGCATGTGTTTGTCAGGTAGACTATTCAGTAACATTGTTTGATTTGTGTACTTTAGTAATTAACTCAATTCTATCCTCTATTATTTTCATGAAAATTATAACCTGAGAGATACAATTTAGTTATTCTATGGTAGGATTTATTATGTACTAATGTATGCTTATTTCTCGAGGTGAATCAGTTTAGTTTTGGAAACATTCGTTCTATACTACATAAATCCTAAAAGATTGAATTTATACTCGAGTTGGTCAGCTGATTTTCCCTGATAATTCACTAGCTACTTTATCTGAATAAATGTAGATACAGCATTGGATAGTATAAGTAAATAAGTTTTACTGTTTAGAAGTAATCTCTTGTTAGAAATTTGTTGTTGAGTTCATTTAAAACAGTTAGTCCCTTTGATAAATTTTGATAATGCAATGAGAAGACGAAGTTTATCAGAATTATGTGATATATTAGCGCAATACATTTCGAACAATCTGATCACACATATACTTGTTAAGAGCATTTATATATAAAAATAAAAGGTCAACTAGACAGGTTAAGGGTAAGTCATGACAAAGGAAAAATATTAAAGTACAAAAAAAAACAAATGTGATTACCACTCTGGATAATAAATCAGTATTACCAGGGTAGGTTTAGTGTAAGGACAAATTGTTTTTGAACACATAAAGGGGGTTTTAGTTTCCGTATAGCCAAGGCTTCAATAAACCTTAGTATACGTCCTTGAAGGCTTTTGTATAACACTACAAATGCTGATTTGATGTCGACCTTATGACCCGTCTCAATCAAATGTTTCGCAATGGAGGATGATGTCTGTCTATCCTGTGATCTTATTTGACCATTGGAATCCATTTGTTTTTGCAACCATTTAATTACAAATGCTTGCAGAGTTAAATGTTTGAATATGTGTGTTGTTAACCATGAAGTTTTCTCCACTTTCTCAACGTATTTAATAATACTCACATAGTCGCGTTTATTTTCCTGAGAAATGTAGCTATTAACCGCGGTTCTTACGGCGTTGTCAGTGCATATACCCCGGTGGGATCGCAAAGATTGGGAACAAGCTGCTGTATGTGGTGTCCTAGCTCAGTTTGAAGGCCTTCTAAGTTGTTATGGTGACGAACAAGGAATGATTGAGGATTGGGCATGGGCAATTGATTATTTATTGACGTATCGTGTTACACTTCGTCCATCTGGTAACTTCTCTGATTCCGTAATTGATACGAGTGGAAGAAATTCCGAGGATACTGACTTGAATGTTCCTACCTCGAATCGCTCTGATACTGAAGAATTTCATATGGATTTCAAAGTCACAAGATTGAACGAATGCGAGGTATTCTAACTGATTTTTGATGATCCTATCTATTACAAATGTAACATTTTGACTTTAGTCAATGTCTAGGATTATTTTGTCATCTGTTATTGAATTTCAGTATTATTTAATATTTTCGTACTTACTAATAACTGACAGGTTGAAGTGATTATTATTATTTGTAGTCTTATACCTTAATAGATCATTTAAAGTTCAAGGAATGGAGTAAGTTTTCTTTCTTTAGTTAGTCTTCATCCTCCTTTTGCTGGTAAAATAAGATAATAAATTGTGCCACAGGGTAGTTTGGAGTTTTGTAAGTATCCAATTAATTCACCAGTGATTTAAGTAACTCACATGATTTCGGTTCACTACTAGTTCATATTGATTTTATGTTTGAAAAAGGATCAACCTCAGATTAGTTTATGACATTGAATAGTTGAGCGTCGAATTGATAAAATCGTTTACATACATTTGTATGTGATTAGTCTTTGACATTACTATTATATCTCAAAATGAAATGATGCACATATATCAATAATTCGTGATTCCATTAAGCCTTGTAAGTGTTATTTTAGTTATTTTTTTCAGCTTGCTGTTCCTTGGAGATCATGGGTTCATGCTCCTTCAGAAATTCAAGCTCGTGGTCGTGTTCGAATTCGTTTACATCCTGTCTCATTTGTAGTCGGAATCAATGAACTACAATCAGTTGCTGAAACGTAGGTATAACCTAATTCATATTTTCTTTATTTTCTGTTTGTTTTATTTTTCAGTATACGATGTTTTAGATTCCAAAACTTTCCAAACATTTCAATATAAAATTAATTTAGTGTTTCATTATCGAAAATCTTATTTAGTTCTTACACAAATTTAATTGTGATAGTTTTATGACGACTTGTGATATTTCTATGCTACGTCTTAGGTGTAATGTTTTTTCCAACTATTATGTAGAGATGGAAATACAATAGTAATTGTTCAGTGGGTATTTTAATATTTACTGTAATCTCCAGAGTGTTTTTGGGAATTTAATAACTTTACTAAATATATAATGTAACTACAGTGGTGACCTATTGGTTGAAGCACTAGTCTTTCAATCTATAGGTTACAGGCTCAAAGCCTCCATCTACGACAGCTTCGGCTCCATGTTTGTATCAGTAGCTTTCATGCAACCAAATTTTGTGGTTCAGAATCGACTATATAGACCTGTACACAATTAATTACTTAAAAAGTTAAAATTATTTACTAGTCTAGATTGATCTTTCATTACGATTAATTTATATTGTAGTGATCATTATGATTTGGGGAGTATGTGCCTGACGTGTAGATCTTAATGGTGTTCTTGTAGCTAACTTTTGAAAACAAACTTTATTGATAACTTTGGCATAGTATGTAACTTCTAATTCGATCCTATGCACATTAATAAATAAATAAACTAATTCTTGGGAAATTAGATCTTACTTAGTAATTTAGATGAAATCTCACAGGTGATTGATACTTTTTTGAACCATATTGTTTTCTGTAATATTGTGTAATATATTGATTGATATTTGACGGTAGGTCACAGTGATGTTCAAGGTATATGTTATTTTATTTTGAATTTATTAGCTGTATGTAAGCGTATTTTTGGTAGCATTCTGGCTTAAGCCTACTCTGCATCTACCTCAATTTCAGTGTTTTTTCTTCAAGGCTGCTGACTCTCTACAAACATTACTTGTTCAACTGGTATATTATTATTACCGTCCTTCAGTCAGTCAATCAGAAACAACGTGGAACTTCGTACGCACGTACATCAGTTCGAGTTGCCATACCACATTAGCACAGAGATTCAGTTATCGATTCAAATCCCATAGTGGTAGAGGTACTGAAAGTATAAGTAGTGATAGGGAACATTAAGGTTTGATGATGTTATTTAAGGAGTATAGTCCAGTGGAATAGATTTGGAAAGAAAATAAAGGACATGGAGAATTCAGAAGATTAGGGTTTGAGAAAACACAGAGAGTGGATGCACCTGCTCCATTGCAAACGATTTTGAGCCATGTCATTCAAGGTCTCTAACGATTGATTGCTATCATCTCTCGCTCCCCAACCAGGTAGTCTACATCTACCAACATGGCTGAGTCCACTTGTCAGTGACTTCCTGGATTTGTGCCATGTTTTGGTCTGGCCACCCCTAGCTTTCTTTCAACCTGCCCCTATACCATTGAATGTCGCACGTTGGAGCAGTCGGTGGTTGGGCATACATAAAACATGTCCCAGCCATCTCAACTGATTAGGTTTCACTACTTCATCAATTGATTTGCCATCCTTACCTAGTACCCATTTCCTAACAACTGCATTACTTACTCGGTGGTCCCAGGATATACGAGCAATGTTTCGAAGACATTTATGGTCGAATATTATTAACCTACGAATACCCCCAAATGCCCTGGTACGACCGAGAGTGAGGCGAGTCCACTCTCCCTCTCGAAATGCTCTCAAATGGCCACGCGTATATTGCCCCTGCCAGGGAAGTCCTACTCACTGCCTTCACGTGGCGGGGGTGTTGTTTACGAAAATGAGAGGACGAAAAGCGAATGTCCGGCTCTTTAACCGGATCCCAAACCAATGGTGCACATGGGCTCCAGTATCCTGAAGGAATAAATGGCGTATGAACCAATCGTTGGTCACTGGCTACCATGAGACTGCATCTCCTTACGATGCTCCACTGCCTTGTGGATTAGACGTTCAGGTCAAAGGCTCGGGGTGTGGCCCCCTAATAAAACCACCTGCTTCGGTCTGGGCACCGGGGCAGTATCATAGCACTCACACAAATCAATTGAGATTCGTGTTGCGCATATGTATTTCGTGCCTCCTTGTACCAATACCTATGTGTTAAAATAAATAAATAAATAAACCATCTACTCTTACCGGCAAAGTTTCACTGCCATAAAGTAGGACGGAACGAACTGCTGCGCAGTAAACACGTCCTTTGGTTGAGAGACGGATATCTCGCCTACGCCACAAATGACGCAAGTTGGCAAAATCTAGTCGAGCCTTCTGTATCCGTGCTGAGATTTCGTCACACATCAGACAACAAGTGCTGATGAGACTTCCAAGATAAGTGAGGCGGTCGACACCCAATCTTGAAGTAACATTTTGCATTTCGGAGGGGGGAGAATCGCATGCCGAACATGCTTGCATTGTTGCTTAGAGTGGTCAGTAGACTCTGCATTCTGTCAGCGTCTTCACCAAATAGAACTATGTCATCGGCATATTCTAAGTCAACAAGTGGATCTCCCGGTAGAAGTTCAACTCCTGGAAATTTAGATGAGGAAATTGTCATCTCTAAAAGGACGTCAACGACAAAGTTGAACAAGAATGGAGAGAGTGGACAGCCCTGACGAACACCAGTTGAGGTAATCAATTCTGATGACAGTTCACCATAAGCTCTCACTCGACCAGTTGTGTTCGAGTAGAGAGCCTTTATAAGGTTGATGTACTTCTTTGGTACTCCCTTCAGCGACAAACACTGCCATAGAACCTCACGATCAACAGTCAAGTGCCGCCTTAAGGCCGAGAAATACTACCATTGTGGGGCGTCTGAATGTGTGTCTATGTTCTAGGACCTGACGTAGTGTGAATATTTAATCAATACAACCACGTCCAGGTCGAAAACCAGCCTGGTTTTCTCTAGTCTGCTCTTCACGAGCTTTGGTTAGACGTCGAAGTAATATTGAAGCTAATATTTTAGACACTATATTAGTCAAACTAATTCCCCTGTGATTGTCACAAGAGGACTTTTGTCCTTTCTTATAGACTGGCACAATCAGTGATTGAGACTAGTCAGATGGGATTACGTCCAGTTCTCAAATTCTACCTAAGACTTCAGTTAATCTCACTGCTAATGCTGGGCCGCCATCCCTAAAAATCTCAGGCGTAACCCTGTCAAGGCCTGATGCTCTCCAACACTTCGAATTTCCTATAGCTTTTTCAAATTCGTAAAGAGTCGGAGGAAGTACAGTCAGTCAGTCAGTCAGTCAGTCAGCTGCAACGTAGGACCAGGCACGTATATGCATCGGTCCAAGTTGCCATACCGCATTAGCACAACAAGATTAACACCGGATTCATAGGAGTAGTTAATTCAGTGGTGGTAATATATAGAAGAAAGATTGTGTATAAGGAGATAGTAAAGGAAGAAAGAATTAGTTCGTAGAAATAAAGATATGAAGCGATTTTAATCTCTTAATTTAAGGAAGACAGAGAGTGTATACACCGACGCCATTGTGATCGATTCTGAGCCATGTCACCAAGAGTCTCCAACCATTGGTTACGATAGTCACGCGGACCCCAACCAGGCAGTCTGAATCTCCCAACATGGCTCAGACCAGAAGTTAGTGACTTCAAGCACTGATGCCACGTTTTGGTTTGGCCGCCCCTAACTTTCTTTCAATTATCCCCTACACTAGTCAGCATTGCGCGTCGTGGTAATCGGTGTTCAGGCATACGCAACACGTGGCCCAACCATCTCAGTCGATGAAGATTCATAACCTCATCAACTGATTTACCATCATTCCCTAATACCCTGCGTCTAACCTCACTATTACATACCCGGTGATCCCAGCAGATACCCGCAATATTTCTAAGGCACCTGTGGTCAAATACTAGTAACTTACGGATATCTTCCACTCTTAAAGGCCATGTTTCGCAGCCGTATAGAAGGACGGAACGAACTGCCGCGCAGCATACTCGTCCCTTAATTGATAGACGGATATCTCGCCTTCGCCATAGATGACGTAAGTTGGCAAAGGCCAAGCGAGGTGGGGTGGGCATCACTTACATGGCTGCCTAACTGTTTTTCTAGTTGTTCCCGAAATATACTCTTGGCTTGACTATCATTAAGTAGGACCCTAAGGGGTTTCCTTGCAGCGTTTTTCCTACCTCCGGTAAGACGTAGACAAATACGCGCTCGCACTAGAGCATGATCTGAGTGTAAGCATGTGCTCCAGAATGAGCGATAGTCTTCTATCGAGCCCCTCCATCGGTGGCTGGTAGCGATGTGATCTATTTGGGTCCAGCGTTGGTACGAATTAGGGGGTCGCCATGTCAAAAGTTGTTTTTCCTTATGCTTAAAGTTAGTGTTTGCAAGAAACAGGCGGTTATCTGAGCATAGCTGCAACAGACGGTGGCCGTTATCTGTTCTTTGAGCCGCGACACCATAAGATCCACCCAGGTGTCTTTCCTTTTCGCTTAGTTTACCTACTTGAGCATTAAAATTATCAGCTACTATTACTACATCAGAGCGCCTAGCTTGCCGAAGAAGGTCGGAAAGCTTTCTGTAAAACTCATCTTTTACATTATCTGAGCTCCAGTTAGTTGGAGAGTAGGCAGAGACGACGAAGAGGCAAGGACGAGTGTCCCTATCTTTCCGAGTCCTTACTGTTTTGTTCAGTCGGACAACGCACAAACGACTGTCTACTGGGATCCAGTCTAATAGTGCTAGTTCTGCCCTAGGACTCAATGCATTACCTACGCCAGCGAGGCCACGGGAAGCAGCATCAGGGCTTCCAGATACACGAAGCTTGAATCGAGCTGGTTTATTACTTTGACATGGTGAGGTCAAATGAATGACACTACTCGGATCCTGTATGCGCGTTTCGGAGACGCAGCACACATCGATGGAGCGAGATTCTAAAGTCCTAGCTAAGGAAACCTGTTGTCCTATTTGGCACAGTGTTCGGACGTTGAAAGCTCCTACTTTTAGTTTGGAGCGTGGTTTCAGGAGACCAGGAATAACATTCCGCGTACTCGGATCGTTCACACTAGTGGGGTGAGGTGATAAAGGGACGTGAGAAGGGTTAGTCGTGGAGATAAGAGTTATTAGGAGGTGTAAGAAGGATTTGAATGTGACCAACTTGGTCTCGTGTGCTGTTACGGGTATGAGGGCTGATGTCACTTCCCGGCTGCCCACACGGTGGAAGGATATTTCTTGAGGAACTTGAAAAGGAAATCGGATTAGCGTTGGTCTTAACGACCTGTAAGCGTAACTGTAGAGCCAAAGGGACAACTACTTGAGGCCGGTCGCACACGGACATTTTGTGGGAGGTTTTTAATGTGTCAGCCCCGTTCTTCAAAGAGCTTCACCGCCGGAGACGGAAATCCGTGGGGTAAGGTGAGGTGTGACATTTTTAGGGTCAACCTTTTCTAACCCCTTCCTTCCTTGTGAGAAGGCAGCATCGCTCTAGATGCTGGTTGTCCGAGGGAAACACCTTACTGCCGTCACACCTCTGTACAGTCAGCAGTACGACTTCGCCCTTTAGTTGTTGCTTTTAGTCTTACCGTTCTCCAATCGACCTCTCTGGCATGGTAAAACTTACAAGAACATATGTTTCAGCCAATATAGCTCGGTTGGGTCATCACGATAGGCAAGCCTGACCACATTGTCAAGGTAGCAGTTACGGTCGGGATTACCGTCCTTAGTAGTTATTTGTACTGTCTTATTTGTAGTTTCCTAGATAGAAAAGAAATCAGTTGTGTTATGTTGTGTCCTTTGAATGAACGTTTTGTATTGTCCTTATTTGTTTGCTGATTGTATATATTTTTTGATAATAACAAATTCATGCTGTATCACAGCCAACTCACAAATCAAGTGACTTGTGTGTCGCATATGTATTCGGTGCCTTTTTATGCCAATATTTATATGTTGAAATAAATAATTAAAATAATTAAAATTCATGTTGTTTAAGTATCGGTTCAAAAAGTCATGAAACTCAATAGAACAGAATCAATTCAGTTCTGAAAATATGCAATTTAAATGTTAAACACCATATATATATATATATATATATATATATATATATATATATATATATCTGTCTCTACATAGATTCTTTGTTTGTTTTACGATTGTCTTCTGTGTTCAAGTTTAGATAAAACTGCTGTGCAAAACGCGGTAAACAATCATGGCTTAACATCTTTACGCGCTTATTTCAATCGATATACAAAACATTTTGGCGCTCCAGGTCAGATATAAAATTTCTTTTATATAACATATCAGTTTAACATTAATTAGCATATTTTACGGATAATCAAAATATATGTAGTATAAAAACATGCTAGCTATTACTGTGCAGTAACTGACCTTTCACCTCATTTTTTTAGAAAACCAGATGAATAATCTTGAGTCGTTTAATAAGAGTCTTTTTAATGTCATTTTTTGTTGCGTAAGTGCCATTGATAGAGAAATCTTCATTAGTTATTTGTGTAATGATATTTGATTTATTACCTTTATGACTTTTTTTATCGTGATTTGACAGTCGATATGTCGTGTTTATTATTTGTAAATTACTGAAGTTGTACTATGACTCCAACGAATAATTTGTTTCTCAATCCAGTTAATTTTTAAAACTATAGATGTGGCATATATATATCCGGTTTACCAAAATGTTGCCTCTTTTAGTTTTCTATTCATCAAATTATGTACATTAAAAGTGATAGAAATACTGTTGAAATTTTAAACAGAGTGATTAGATTAATAATTTAAAAATTATAAATTTGATAACAGATTAGAATGAATAAAACGTTTGATATTTATTCATATTGAACGTAAACTATAGGTAAATATAAATGCAATGGCACAGAAATTGAGAATAAACTAATGGAAACCCTTCATTTTTAAAAGATGTTTGATTTCATCTGTAAATTGAAGTCAATCCCAAAATATTTGTCTTAAAATTTAAACTACTTACTAGTAGTTAATAAAAATAATGTATTTATAATATTCAGTGAGTGGAAAAATTAAGTTTCTAAATTTTATGACGTTCCGTTAGTAGTCAGGTTTAAACAGTACAAATAAATTTTGGTTCTTCATCTTTAGATTACATCCATTAAATCATTACACGTAAGAGGATTCAAGTACAAGTGAATAGATTAGAGTAGAATCGGAATAATTTTTAAAATTATATACATGTTTATATAATCATTTTGGAGTATCATTTGTGTTGATAATGAAGTAGGTGGGTAAGCTTTTAATATAATATGTGGGTAATATAAAACATACTGAATGGAAATTTGTATTATTCATAACAATAATGTGAATAAAAGCAAACATAATATCAATGTTTATCTCAGATTAAATAGAAAAGAATAATTATTATGGCGCACAAGTTGGTTATAAGTAGAAATAAATATATGGTTTTTGTGTTTTGTTGTGATAGCTAACCTTTTATTGATCTTGTTTTGTAGAAGAATATTTTCAGTTGTAGCCTAACTGACGCCATAACCATTTTTCCCGTTGAAATTTAAAACGGAATGTTTTCAATAAATACGTGTACTGCAAGCATGCATTTCTTTAGTTTTGGAAATAAATTTTTAGCTGATTAGGAACAGAGTGTATATATATTTGTGTTCCAAACACTATTTCTTTGTAAATGTCGACTATTCACTGTTAATTGTATTATCATTTTGGTTGTTCACAAATATGATCGTGAAGACGAAATAATTGAGTGCAGAGAAGCGGGCAAAGTTTTAAGTAACGAGACAATAATTGAAAGCAAATTGTTAACATATGAGTGATAATCAAGGTATATATCTAACATAAACTTAAAGTTAACGTCTTGATTGAATATGAATGGGATTTTTTTACTTTAAGTTAGAGAGATAATGTAACTGACAATCGTTAAAATAATATATCTTACCATGTCAATGATAGGTTTACCACACGTTGTTTCTTTATGCAAAGGTCAGGTCGAATGCTCTTGATGACAATGGCCTCTGTAAAACAGAGTAAAAGTGGTGTACATCACCTGTTAATTATTTTGAACGCTTTTCAATAATCTATGTTGTGTCCACTGCCCATCAAATTTTTAAAAATCGGACTTGGGAAACCTTTACTTTTTTTCAGACACAACTCACGGGGAATATGTCCCGAAGACCTTGTAGGATGCCCTTCTCTCATTTCTTACTATGTACTTACTTTCATAAGTACATGTAAATTCGTAAATACATTTTGAAGTGACCTCAAACCGATATTGATCCACTTTTGATTAATTGATTTACGGAACATCTAGTGTTATAAACTGAAAACAGTTAAGCTACAAGGACGCTTATAACATTTTTATCATAATATTTCCTTTGTAAATTTAGGCCGTTTGTGGCTGATGAGAAGCCTTGAAGTATAATTAATTCATTTTATTCTGTAAGGGTTGTTCTTCCTGCTTTATTTATGTTCTTTAATGTTTAATATTTAATATGAAGTAGTGTAAAAATCCATGTGCTTTAGATTTGATTCCAAATCATGCTTAGCATACATTTACCGACTAATTGTCAATACGATTATTGAATTATATTAAAGTCACACTTTATCGCAGGTAATAATTTTCATTTTGTCAATAGAAATGTTCATAGTTGATTATGGATAAATATGAAACAGAAAATTTTGTAAGATCATGACGATCATTTGTTTGTGGTTTACTTATTACAAAATAGTAATCATATTCTTCGGTTATTTGGAGCTTCCGATTGATGCTTAGTACTGTAATAGAAATAGTCTCTTTCGTTATATATACATCCTCTGCGGATTTTTTCGATATGACCATCAAGTCACAAATATTGTAAACAGAGATGGATGATGGCTAGCTGTGGAATCCAAAATGCGCATTTCGTCCTATTTAGAACCCTTTATATATATATATATATATATATATATATATATATATATTAAATGTGTGCACTACTGAGGAGTTTCAAACTAAAATAAAATCACTATCCAATACTCCTTGAGTATCAGTGGTTTTCTATTTTGAATCAGTTTGTGACGTACACTCTCTTCAAAATATTATTTTTCCTTACACATTCCATGTTATGCAGATTGAAGTCTTTCTTAAAGTTCTTTATAATCAGATCCTGTATTGTTCATCAATAATTTTCATTCTACTAAACGAATGGCTAACTTTTATAAAAAAATTTTTTTACCGAGATTTTTTGTTATTCAATGTTTAGATGATTTTTTTTTCTCCTTCAAACTTTGATTAGAAGTTGTTGATGTTGTCGGGTAGTTCTTTATTTATCTTGTAAACATTCTAATTTGGGTTTTTTTCTCTCTTGCTAACAAATTATTCGTGTCTCAATTCATTTTTTTCTCTATTCTACAAAACGAAATATCTTCCTCTCTTAACAATTGTTTCACATGATTTCAATTCTTCATTAATAATATTTATTATTTTTATTTAATGAAGCTTGTTTTCATTATATTTGTCGTAGACAAACAAAATTGTTCACTTGTAATCAAAATGTTATAAATATAATTGAAATTCTATGGAACTCATTTAATACATCAAAACATAATATACCAATTGTAGTTAATTCAGTTGGAAAAATAATCTTTTCAGTTTAATAATTTGATTACTTTAATCACAGGATTAATAACTTTAGATTGTATGTTCATTTAGTATTTGATTTATTCAAAAGTTTAGATGGTATTTTGTTCTCATTTAGTAATTCTATGATGTGAATACAAGAAAGCTTGTTCTAATCCGTTTAGTTTATTTCAATTAATTTCTCTTCCATGTATTTTCATGTTTTAAGTTAAATATTAGTGTCATAATTTTAGCCTCATACTTTGGTAAATGATAGTTTGAGGTTCAAAGCTATTTATGTTAAGTTTAAATCTCGTTGTTAAGTAGGTAAACTATTCAGTCGATGACATGAATTATTAAAAAAAAACTATCCTTGTGGTAATACATTTTCAACTATAATTACATTCATCCATGTAATTTATAAAACATCAGTGGACATAGTGATTCTGTAAATACTCTTCAAAATACTATGTGTATGTAAACTGTAACTAACTAGTTCAGAGTATGTTATCATTTTATCTGAAAACTTGGATTTCATCGTTGGTTCACTGAGTTTGCTTGAAGCAACAACACTAATAATGACGTTTAGTGCTGTCAAACTGAGCTCAACACTATAGTGCCCGTTATGGGCATAGTTCGTACTTGACTTTGTATGTATTCAGTCTACTCAACACGTTTAAAACAACAGCACATCAATAGTTCAATACGTGTTGTATTTAAGATAGGCTTATTTCAAATATGTTAATATTGGACGGTAAACAAACTCAATATTCTCGAGTGTATAGAGCATTAGAGTTTGATTATATACCGATTCAAAGAATAGCAAGGTGATTCCATTTTTATAAGTCTTGTGAAAAATACAGGAAGTGGGTTGACACACATACATGCATAAATGTGGTCAAGGTTAAACGTGAGTAGCTGACAAAGGCGAATATATGGGTGACAGAATAAATGGAAATATTAGAATAATTCTCCTCCTCACATGTTGAAACAAATCATGTAAATGCATAACAATACCAACTGCTACAACCTCACATTTCAATATGTTTTTCCATACTTTTTGTTTTTGAAAATTAGGTCGAACTGTTTCAAATCAAGATGTCTGGGATTTACTCACAGATATTACACATCATCTTTCTACACCTGTTCGTTCAAAACCAGTTGAAGTGTTACAGTTAGCATCAGAAATTACTCAAGCATTTCATGGTTTACGAATAACAACTTGTAAATCAGCTAAAGATCGTACAGCTATGTCTGTTACTTTGGAACAAATCCAGTGGTTGAAAGTAATTTTATATCTATTGTATTTTATATCTGTTATTCTCTTCAGTGGTGCTATATTTATGACATGTTAATACTGTATGTATGTGACAATTAAGATGAAATATTATCATTAGTACAAAATTCAACCATCTCGTAATGTAGAATTACCTAATAGTCTATATTATGTTTAATCTTTGTTTATTTTCACCAGTATTAAATAAAGTTATTAGATTTTTATGATTGATTATAACTTTGCTAGTTTGTTTACTATATAATTGTTAATCTATCATTTAATATCATTTATCAATATCATCTGATTTAAGAGTGAATTAAATGAGTAAACTATAAATGATTGTTTGATTATGTAGAGTAGATTTTCATCTTTCTCTTGTCCATTTCTTTTAAATATGGGTTTCTTATTCTTCTATTTCTACATTATCATTTTTTTATTTTAATGATACATTATGTCTACCATGTATAGTTAATAATTGTAGTAATTTGTGTCAAAATGATGTTATTATATGTTTAGTTGTACACTTTGCTATAAACTATATTTTAGAGTCCTATAACGGATAATGATGTAAATTTTTAACTACGGTTCGACATCCAGGTTACAACTTACATTTTTCTTCTAACCTCTTTTACTTCGACAGGTTATATTATAAGAAAGAATTTTTAGTATGAATGGTAGATAATTATTCATCATTTGAATTCATCTAGTTTTATACGAATTTATATCTAGCAATTCTTTGTTAAAAATAAGTTGTCACATTGACGGAATATCACATCGAATTAATACCAAAGTCAAATGAAAGGAAATCATACATGATGCTACATTTTATTTCTTAATAAATTTCTACTAAAGTATTATTATGAAACTCACTAATTATACGTTTATGTACTCGGCTTTAAAAGACACTTTAGTTATATGATGGATAATATTACTATCCAGTTATCTGAACCAGCTATAATTGATACGGTACTCGCACCTGTCCCGTATTAGTTGAAACTTGAGTAACTATTCTTTTTTTGTATTATAGTAATATACACATTCGTTATTTTTAGTAAATCTTTTTATGGATTCGTGTAACTTAGCAAGGAAAGATATAACTTCATTTATTGATCATGATTGTTTAGTGATTGTAAAAACAAACTGAACGAATAATCTTACTTATGAACACGAATTTCCTTTGTTATTCATCATCGAGGACGAATTTCATGTTTCTAATTTCGATCAACGATTAGTTATATTTAACACTTAGCATTCATCAAAAACAGCCAATATTGTTTCTTACTGTATTTTCAAATATCAGTTAATGGTAAGACGTATTATGTTTTCTGTCATAAGGTTTAAACTAATCTTTTTCTTTCTTCAGTATTCTTGAATTTTTTTGGTGATTCTAAATACATTATTACGTACACAGTTACATTATAAATTTCGGTGATTATATTATATGAAACAAATAAATTTGCTTGAATATTGTCTTCCGTTTTTTCTTTATGGAAACGCAAAGATTCTTTTCCGCTTTTTTTTCTGTAAACACTTGTATTCGTTTTCTGCAAATGTTTGTATATTTTTGTGTGCATAACTATAGACAAAATTGTTCAACAACATATAGTCATTGATAATCTATCTTTTTTTTGTACATTAATAATAATACTAGTAATAATGATTCCTCATTTCAGGAAATATCTCGTTTTCAGAAAATATCACTTCCTTTTTCATTTTCCATCTCCTTCTCTCTTTCTAATTTCGTATGATGTCTGTGTGTTAATTTTATTGTGTTTGTTAGTAACTATTACTACTTATCATGAGTAAAATTTTCCTGTTTTTTTAAAATAAAAAATTATTTTCAGCACTATCTTTATCATTGAATTCATTCGTTGTCATCGTCAGTTTTTGATATAATTACTTATCTCACACAAAACACAATGTATCTCTCTTTATTTGAATGTATATTGAACTATGTGAAACTTTTTATGTTACATTGTTCGTTCGTGGTTTGCTCTTTAATATTAAGCACTGTAGAATAAGAACACAGTCGTAATTTAGCTCTCAATTTCTATAATTCACTATTAATTGGTCTGGTGTTATTTTGGAATTAAACAGAACATTACTAGGAATACTTATCATATCTGTGTATGTACTTATGTATGTTTGTGTCTTTATCATTGTTATTGACAAACACCTTGTTCAATTATTTATAGCCTCTTTTTTTAAAAAAAATGTTTTTCCTCTTCCTCTTACTACTATCCCTAATAATTTTATAATTAGTATAGTATAAGGCAAAAAAATTATTATTAAGCTAAGAAATAGAATAACAAAAAGTATATGTTCACTTGTTTACTTTTTTTCGTTAAATTCAAATAGATAATTAATGAAAAATGTAAACGTGATTCCTTTTTTTTAATTTCTAAAATTGGTTCTGTTACTATGGTAATAAAACAATGTGTATATCTCATTTTTCATCCATTTCTCTTGTTCATCGTTCATACTTTTTTAATTTCATTCTGGTATTGCGTTTCTATTATTAATGTATCTTATCTATGCGTATTGTTACCTTACACATGGTATGTATGAAATACAGAATCATTATGTTTTTTTGTTATTGTTTTTACATCATAAAAGTTGAATGTCGGTAGTTCAACAGGAATTATTAGTTTAATATGCTTATGTGTATTGTATAATTTGTTTTATTCATGTAGTTAAAAATTCATTTTCATTATGATTAATATTTTTGTTCATTTTGCATTGTAATAGCGTGTGTAGCATTAGTTTCTGGTCAAGTTTTCATTATATATATATATATATATATATATATATATATATATATATATATATATATATATATAGAGCATGATTTATTCAAATATTCATTAATGGATTTGTTTTTCTGTTGATGAATACTTCAACAAAATAATACCATTTACTATCCATTATAGTTTATGTTAAACATCTTCTGTATTTAGGATGTTGTTTTGATGATTTCTTTATTTAATTTTTTAAAATAGATTTTATGTTCATTTTGTTAAATGCTTTTTGTTGTTGTTGCTGTTATTTATGCTCAAAACGTATAACTCAAAATTGTTTGTAATGGCGCAGGTGCATCCACTATATGTGTCCTCTCAAATTTTAATCTTCTGAATCCTTCATGTCCATTTTCGTTTTCTCTTTCCAAATTTGTGTCACTGTATTATTCTCCTTGACTAGCATCTTCAAACCCTAATGTTTCCGATTACTGCTTATACTTTTACTACCCGTACCACTATGGGATTTGAATCGACAATTGTATCTGTGTGCTAATGTGGTATGGCAACTCGAACTTATGTACGTACGTACGTACGAAGTTCTACGTTGTTATAGACTGACTAACTGTTATGTATGCTATGAAAAAGTGAATTTTACCACTGTTTTTCACTGTCTCTGTTCTATGGGGTTATTTATGTTTTACAAAGTGAATAAATATTTTGTGCTACAATTAACTTTTTCAGTAGTGCAATTCTGAAATAGTAATTGACAGAAAGCCCACACTGATACAGTCTTTCTCTTTTTCAAATACATTTCAGTGGAATGTATTCATAAAATCTATAAACATTAATCTTTTTCCATTGTGCTAGCAGTATTTATGTACAAATTATTGTTAATCTATTTAAATTGTCGATGTATCGTTACTCGATATCACTCACTGTATAGTTTAGTGTAAGTACCTTCCATTTTGGATCTATAATTTGAATAATGGAAACTACACTCTCTGCTGGTTATGACCACTACTTTTTGACTGATCATGGTGCAGAACTTCTAACTGATAAAAATGCTATATATATATATATATATATATATATATATGGATTTATTAAAATTGTTAATTTACACTTGTCGTCTACACGGCACTAGTTTTTTGTTGTTCAAAGTTTAACCATTGGCCGTTATTTCGAAAGATTGCCCTATGTTGGCTATATGTCCTGTCTGAGTTAAATGGGCTAAAATGCAGCTGTTAACAGTTTTAACTACACCTTTGCTTAGCCACATTGGGAAGTACTTACGAGTCGGAATATACGAATTCTAGAACATCTCCCAATATAAATTGCTCCACTGGAGATAGATACAGAATGAGGTGGCTAGTTTAGGCAATTTATCTTTCAGCTTCGGAGTGATCATTAGACGTGTGGGGAACGTTAATTGTAGTTTACCTGCATTAAAAGTTCTTTGGATTGATCTGCGTAACTTCAGTCTTAGAATTACACTAGGTGTATCTCCTCTGAATTGTAAGCGTATGTACAGAGGTTTTTTGTTCACGGTTAGACATTCCTTATGCTCTCTTTTAACAGTTATGCTTTTATTTATAAATTTCTCCGGATATCCATTTCCTTTCAGGGACGTGTACAATCCCTTTGTTTCATCTTCGACTGCATCTAGGGAGCATATGGTCTTGATTCTATGGTACAGTGTCTTAACCAGGTTCCTTTTGTATTGTAGAGGAACAAAACTAAGAAAATTTGTATATTGGTTCTTAATGACTCATCTTTTTTCCTTGTAAATAGAACATCTAGAAAGGTTATTCTACCTCCATTCTCTTCCTCACATGTGAATTTTGTGGACGGATGAACTGTATTGAATCGTTCAATTGTTTTTTCCATCAAGTACAGTCATTACAAGGGATAAACGTATCGTCCATTTATCGGCAGTAAAATGAAAGCTTGTCAATCTGTTGTGCCAGTGCATTGTTTTCTAGTTTAGAGAGAAAAATTTCAGCCAATATGGGACCTAGGGGTGAACTCATAGCGACACCATCTATTTGTCTATAGGTATCACCATTGAATTTGAAATGTACATTTATAGTACATTTTATTAATAATTCTTTGATGATCTCTACAGGGATTGTGGTTTCTATTTCTTGTTCTCTAATTTGTTCACAAACATATTCTACAGTCTCTCTGAGTGGGACATTAGTGAACAATGACTTTACGTCAAAAGACATCATTTGTTCTTTCGTGTTTATGTTTTTAATCCTGTCGAAGTAGTGGAATACATCCTTATTACTATACTTCACTAGGTCTGGTTTTTAAAACGGTTACTAACCACTTTGCTACAGGTATGATATGGAGAATCGTACATATCCAAAATTGGTCCCAATGGGATATCCGGTTTATGTGCCTTCGGTAGTCCGTATAACCTAGGTAAATGGGTACCTATTGGCTTAATTGTTTCATATGTGTTTGGTGGAATCATCTGTTGATCTTGTAGCTTTTCTAAAGATCTGGTCAGTCCATTCTGTATCTTATTATTGAAATCTTTTTGGCTATTCAGTTACTGAAATTTTTGAGCATTCAAAATGTTATTCATCTTGTCCATGTAGTCTTTTTTGATAAGTAAGACAGTTTCGTGATAATCATATTCTCGTCATTAATTAGTTGATTGATAGCCTCCTTGTGTTTTTCAGTTAAAATGCTTCTGTAGTTATAGCTACTATTCTTTAACTGATAGCAACAGTCAACTAGGTTTGATTTGAAACGTTCAAGTTCTTGATCAGAAGTCGGGACTAGATCTGATATCTGACGATTTAAGTTTTCAAATCAGATGTCCGTATCTATATGATTTACGCGGTTTCGTGCATCACAGAGTTTTAGACCTAGTGCTAATACTTCAAGTTTTTCTTGAAAATTAAACCACTTAATTATGTAAGGATTGTCTTAATTTGATCTAATTATGAATTAGAAAATCTTTATCTAAAATATCATTCAATATTTCAAATTTAAAATATATTTGGAATGTTCTATTGAGTAGTGAAATTACAGTTCTGACACTTTATCCTAGTTTAGATCGATTGTTCAGTGAATAAATAATTTTTTAACTTTAATACAATGAACTAAAACAGATCACTTAGTAAATACGAACATATCATATCACTTCAGTTGGGTTAAAGATGGTTCTATGTACAACTATTTTTGGTTGAGTATTGATGTAAATGTAGGTGAATAATTGTCATGAATTTATTTAGCTTGTACTTATTTTTATGGTGTTATGTGGAATAGGTTGATTAATAACGTCTTCGACAGATCTCTTAGTTCTTCTGATCGTATTCAAACCTATGATTTGGAACTAGGGTTTCAAGCTTGTATTGTTTCATTAATTTTGTTTGAACAACTGACTGATATTGTTACTAATCCTACAGTATCTGCAGTTGGATAGCTTTTCAATTATATGTAGTGTATAATAAAGACATGTTTGTTGATAGTATCAACATAACTTGTTTCATCTCAATGACGTAAATTTTCTCTTGTTTTTACTCCTTTTCTTTTTGTATTTTTCAAGAGTGAAGGTATGCATGAAAGTTGTTTTACTAAAGCTCTTCAATGTATTCGAAGCACTGGTCTACGTTTAGATAATGTAATGAAAAACACTGGTAAACGTAAATACGCGTTCAATCGTCTCCAGCTATTATCATTTCCAAGATTGTATAAACCACCAATGGGAACATATTCTACAAATGTATCATCTTAATATATATCGTCGATAACAGATTTATTCAGCAATCAATTTGATTGATTCGACACTGATTCTTATTTTTCCTATCTACTTTTCTCTATTCTCATTTTATCATTGATGAAAACAAAACAGAGAGTCATTCTTTCTTTTGATATTTGAACAATCAATTTATCTTTAAGTGGAGTATAAGTATGTTTCAATATTATTATTATTATTATTATTATTATTATTATTATTATTATTATCATTACTATTGCTAACAAAATAATAAGGATAATACTTTATTGATGATAACTGACTTTGTAGTCACGATTTCTTTTTTCAAATTTTCGTCTTTCCTAACCTTATTCTTTCCTTTGTGTCATTGTGTTTTGTAAAAAAGAAAAGTCTCCTTTATTCATTTCATAAAAGACTTATTATTTACTACTAATTTTGATTGTATAGATGTATTTATACTGTTTCTTTGATAATTATGATGACAATGATGATTGAATTCATTCACATTCATTAATCTATACTTTATTCATTGATGTATGTTTGTTATATTCTTAAGAAATAATTACTTATTCTACTTTATTTCACGCAATGTGTAATTAATGTCGGTAACTACTACTCTTAATATGTTGTGCATAGATACATGTTGAGACGATAAACGTATATTGAGTTCATTTTTATTCTTTTTTCATAACATGATATAAGTGTTTATAAGTAGAAGATGAACTGTTATTAAACAATATGATAAATATTTCAATGTACAATAATTTCTCAATTGTCTCCAGTTCATGATTTAAAACAAAAAACATTCTTAAATCATCTTTGAGAATTTTTTTTTGAATTTATTTATTTTTGATATTCTATTGAATGTCGACAATGACGTGACTAGATGTTAAATTTTCTAGTGTGAAGTTATTAATTATTCAAAATGATATTTTAGTTTTTCGTATTTTTTCGGAGAAAAATACATTTTTTGTTTTAAATATCAAAAATGTTAGACACATGTTAATGAATATAAAAGAAAACTACATACATTGTAAAAAATTACTAGATAATTGTAATTATGAAGTTGAATAAAATAATGTCAAATGTATTCAAGTATAGTAATATCTAAACAATATAGTCGGGAAATAAAATAGAAAAAAAACGAAAGATTAATTGAATCAATGTGGTGAAGAGTGTGACTTTTTTGAGAGAAATTTGCAAGATTACTGGTTGTTTCGTCAGATTGTCAAAGTGAAAATGATAAAAATAGATTTCATTTACAACTATCAATACTAGTTGCAATGAATGTTGTACATTAGGGTACCTCATTAGAAGCGTCATTATTAAATGGCGAAACCCAACAAGAGTTAAGATAAGCCACAATCACTCTGACGTAGCAAACTATATATAACTAAGAATTTCGGAATATAATGAAAATGATAATCTGATAAAAGTGCATGTCACATTAGAAATAGATGAGGTTGACCCGGTTGGTCCGGCGCTGTAACTGGACCCCAAATCAATGGTGCACATGGGCTCCAGTATCCTGCGGGAACAAACGGCGTATGAACCGATTTCTTGGTCACCGGCTTCCATGGGACTGCATATCCTCACGATGCTCCACTGCCTTGTGGGTTAGACCTTTAGGTCAAAGGCTCAGGGCGTGGCCCCCTAAGAAAACCACCTGCTTCGGTCTGGGCACCCGGGCAGTATCCCAGCCCACACACAAAAACATGATGAACTGTCTACTTATGGAAAATATTTTCGCCCCAATTAACAATTAAATGACTCGCATTATTATTATTATTATTATTATTATTATTATTATTATTATTATTTACTACGTCATTTATTCACTCTCTTTTATTCCTACTCTGTCTATCCTTATTTTTCGACTTATACAGCAGCTCGCCTATGGTGGACATTCGGCTCTATCTAAGCGTTCTCGAGTCACTGCCTTGTTGAAAATTGTATGTTACCACCCAATACTAGTACTGAAGCAGTTTTTCTGAAACCACGTGCACCATTCAAACTGGCTGCCTTCAACGTTCCCACACCAATGCAAGTCGGACAACAGATACGGCTGGCTATGTCTTTGAAAAGTCTTAATATTGACGTGTGTTGTCTATCCGAGACCCGTATTCAAGACTCTGGTGAAGTACTACAAATTCGCTCTCCATCTGTCGCTTCAAAAAGCTTGTTTTACGTGCGTTTATCTGGGGACCCTGTGGCATCTTCGTCTGGTCTTGCTGGCGTTGGTGTCGCACTAAGCGCTAGAGCTGAGGCAGCACTAATCGATTGGATCCCCATTAACAGTCGGTTATGTGCTGTTAGATTAGAAAGTTCCATCAAAGTGGGAAGAAATCGGCGTGAGGAACGATGTCTTTTCGTCATCTCCGCCTATGCCCCGACAGATTGCAGCCCGGATGCAATCAAGGATGAGTTCCACCACCAGTTACCTGTTCTCCAGAAAGTGCGTACTAGCCGGAGACTTGAATGCTCAGGTCGGGTGTCTAGGCACAGAAGAGAGTCGTTTAGGTGGCCGATGGGGACTTGTTGGTCGCAGGACAGATAACGGGGAATGCCTACTTCAACTTTGCACAGACCACAATTTGTTTCTGGCTAAAATCAACTTTCGGCACAGTCACCGCCGATGTGCCACCTGGCGTCCTCCCTCTGCATCTGAAGCCTGGACTCAGATTGATCATATCGCGATCAGCTACCGCTGGCGTGGTTGTGTACAAGACTGCCACTCCTTTTGGAGTACCTATCTGGAATCTGATCATGCCGTGGTCTGCGCTAATCTTACCTTACTTTTCAGTGGACAACGAAGTGACCGCCACCAAATGGTTGATGTCAGCACGTTGGTTGCAACTCGTGTTGCTAGTAAGTACCGAACCGAGCTAGCTTCTAGGCAAGCTACCATTCCACCGAAAAGTATAGATGAGCATTGGTTGCGATTGCATGACGCCATGAAAATGGCGGGTACAGTCTGTTGTGGGTTAGCGAAACGTCCCGCTTACAAGCACTGGGTTTCTTCTGGTTCCTTACAAATGATTGAAGCCCGTCGGTCTACTCCGGGTGACCGTGAGTTTGACCACAGACGAAGGATTTTACGTAATGGAATCGGGCAAAACTTGCGTGAGGCCTGAGAAGCCTGGTGGTCGGAGCGTGCTAACGAGCTGGGAGCAGCAGCTGCATCTGGTAATTACCGGAAGCTCTTCCAAGTCATCCGAGCCACTGGCAGCAAGATGTCTGATGTGAGCGAAACAATCTGCGAGGATGACGGAACGTCAATCACTAACATCCATCGACGTCTTGGACGATGGGCAGAATTTTTCGAAGGGCACTTCAACTGGCCTGCTGCTCCGGCAACGTTGGTCAGACTATCCTGCCCTCCATGGCCGGTGACGACTGATCCACCAAATGAGGCGGAAGTCCGCAAGGAACTCCAACTCTTGAAACGTTACAAATCACCGGGCCCAGACGACTTTTTTTTCAGTACAGTGTGCCACTGCCCACGTCTCTAGATATTGTAAGTTCTTAATGTATGACAAATCATACAAGGTACATATCTAAGCCTTATACTGAATATGGGATGTTATTATTGTAAAAGATTTGGAGGTTTTACACATTGAAAATATGTAGTCTTTAATAAAACGATATTATTAAACGAACAAGCCACCGGGCATTAACACCAACATTTTGATAGTGCTTTTATTTTAAAAGCTTGAATATCAGATGGCAGACTGTAAAAAAACTTATTTTTATATTTGGTATGTTATTTAGGTATGAGTAGGTAATCTAAAAGAATCCACATAACTCTTGTTTTCGATGTCGTGACTTTCTAGGTATCTATGACTGTTCAGGATGTCCAGTGTGTCCTTGAAGTTTTAAAGTTTGGGGGTGAGCTAGAAACACGTATTACTTCTGAAACATCTGATCAAAGTACTAGTTTTGGAATACTTTATCGGCTAGCTACACAAACACCATCTGTTGCAAATTTAGCTAATATCCCTTGTACAATATGCTTGGTAAGTGTTTCTGATATTAAGCTAATTAATGTAATATTCAACAGGCGAGATCAAACGATATTCTTTAAGAAAATGAGTGCCCACCATTTTTTTTTTTCAACATATTTTAAGCATTTGTAGTTGATGTGTGATAAATTAAGGTTTAATATTTTTTACTTAGTTTTGTGAAAGTAGACCTTTAAGAAAGAGTGTAGTTCATCGAATAGATTCATTTCGTCGATTTCACTCTCAGATCTATACAGTCGCATATAGATTTATATAGGAAGCATATTCTTCATGTTTGATATTCATTCACTGATGGAATAAGATGTAAACGTAAGGCTGATGAGATTCCGGAGTCCTATGTAGTTGTTTATGTAGAAATTGAAGCTTGTTTTTGCTAGGTGCTTTAAAAATATATTATAGAAAGGGTTTCTAAATCTTAAATTTCTTGTGTACAATGACATGTCTCTCAATAAACTAAAGAAATTGATTCTATTATTGTAACTCAGTATCAACATATTCCACGTACCAATTTGTTAAATAATCAGTTCCGTGGTGTATTGGTGTTAAAGCATCTTATTCTAGATCATTGAATTATAGGTTCGAAACTCGTTTCATTTCAGCTTGGGCAGTCGTACCGAAATCACTAAACCTCATACAAAAATTCTCGACGTATTGGACGATGGGCAGAATTTTTCGAAGGGCAGTTCAACTGGCCTGCTGCTCCGGCAACGTCGGTCAGACTATCCTGCCCTCCATGGCCGGTGACGACTGATCCACCAAATGAGGCGGAAGTCCGCAAGGAACTCCAACTCTTGAAACGTTACAAATCACTGGGCCCCGATGACTTAACTCGGCTCTTTTTAAAGATGGTGGTGACTTTCTGGCTAAGGAACTGACTGTGTTGTTAACAAAGGTCTGGGAACTAGAGAGTGTACCAACGTCATGGAATGAGTCGATAGTTGTCCCTATCTTTAAAAAGGGTTCGCGTCGTTCCTGTAACAACTATCGCGGGATAAGTCTACTTCCGATTGTGTCCAAGCTATTGGCTTCCGTCATACTTCGTAGGTTGTTCAAAACCCGAGAAGGATTGACTCGCGAGGAGCAGGCTGGTTTTCGTTCTGGTCGGGGATGTATTGATCATATCTTCACCCTCCGCCAAATGTTAGAACACCGTCATACTTATCAAGGGCCAACAATCGTAGTGTTTCTTGACTCTAGGGCTGCCTTCGATTCGTTGGCCAGAACAGTTCTCTGGGATTGTCTATTGAAGAAGGGTGTGCCTGAGAAGTTTATTAACATCCTAAAAGCCCTATACACAAACACTTCAGGCAGAGTGAGGGCATACAACCACCTTTCTCCATTATTCCATTCGAGCAGTGGGGTTAGGCAGGGTTACCCAATCTCACCATTCCTCTTCAACTTTGCCGTCGATGACATTCTGGAAACAGCTCTGATGGACGTAAGTAATGGTGGTGTGGATCTGTTGCCTGGAAAAAGCCTTCTCGACCTTGAGTATGTGGATGATATTGTCTTACTTTGCGATAATGCCCAATCCATTAGTGTCACCATCTTGAATTCCTCGTCGTGCATTATTTGCCGACTCTGGGACTGGTTGGAAAAAGTGGAGAGGTGGTCAGTATATGACATGGTGTCGTGGTATGAAAGAAAGCTGTACAGGACTGGCTTCTGCTGGTCCTTCATGGCTCCCCGATTGAGGCTCTAGAGATGGTGCAACACAGTGGCTAGAGACGTTATCAGATGTAGCTCAGAATAGAAGCCAGTGGCGATCCTGCTGTAACCAATATTTATGTGTTTAAATAAATAAATAAATAAGTAAATAATAGTTTGACTATCGTAATAAGACCGAGGATGTCGTTGAAGATGAAGGTAATTACCAAACAATAAGAATTAGTTCGTGTAGAAATTCAAGCGACTAGGTTGGAAGAAACTCATCAAACACAGGATAAATAACAAAAATGGAACAACTTCGAGTAAAACGCTGTAGGCTTGTACTCCTTCGGTTTTATTGTGGATCAAAGTGCGTAAATCAAATACTTTCCTGCTTTCAGTGTTTTCGGATTCAAAGACTGATTTTCAATCTACGTGGTATTTATTTAACTTAATAAACTTTATGCGATTCATACACAATGTACTGGTATTCTTAAGGATTACAACCATTTCTGCCTCTATTATTAGATATGATCATTTGGATACTGTTTTTGTTAGACTGACTGATCAAAACTATACCATGCAGAATACTCAAATTCATTTAAAACAAGTAATAATTTAATG